TGGAATTAATTTAGGTTAAAACTCTTTGATTCATTAGGTCGAAAAAGGTGATGTGCACTCCATGACAAAGGGTACGGCTTCATTGAATTTAAGCATCAAACACAGACTTGAAAGAAAGAAAATAATAAAAAAAAAAAGTTCTAAAACATGTTTTGGGATTTCTATTGGATGATGTTTGTTGCTACCCCATGACTAAATCTTATATTAAAAATTAATCACTCAATTAAAATATTAATTAACCATCTTTATTGGATGGTCCACATTTAATTAAAGTAAAAACACATTTAATTAAAGCAAAAATTCAATTAAACTAAGAGTTTAACTCAGTTAGTTCATACATATATCGTTAAGAGATGACATTTAACAGATTTAATATTTAAATTTCAATGTCAATAATTCTTTTTCTATCATCAAACAACAACATTTTTTGAAAAAAAAAATTAAAAACTCAATTAGTGGATTCTTTTTCAAATTATTGTAAGCTAAAATGGCTTTAATTCTCTCACAATCTAAAGAGAAAGCTCAATCTATGTGTGCAAAACAACAAATGGTATAGGGTGCCAACACTTGGAAAGGAGAATATATTTTTTTAATTGTTCCTTTGATTACGAATAGTTAATTCAATATTTTTTTTTTTTAAAAAAAAGGGTAATTATTGAACAAAAATGGGTCCATTTGATGTTGTGACTTTAGCGTTGGAATGTTGTAGCCAAGTTGTTAAACTTTGGGTAATTTTTTATTAGGGCTTATTAACTATGACACGTGAATTCATGTGAAGAGGGTCCTCCATGTTCTTTAACTTCTTATACCCTCTATTGATCCTTTGAGTGTGTTGATAGAACATTATCTTAAACATCTTTGATTAAAGTTGTATTATATTGTATTTGGTGGAATATATATAAAAGTTTTCCAATCAACCTATTTTAAATGTTTGAAAATCTTTTTCTTTTTCTTATACTCGGCCCTCAGATCCTATAATATTGATTGGTCTCAGATAAGAGTGTGGAATTCGAATAATATATGTTTGACTCCTATATATCACATAAACATAGGCTCCTTTTTTTTTTATTGATTTATTAATTTACATATCTAAGGGATATAACACATCTGTTTTATTGAAATATATATATATATATATATACATATTCATATTCATATATCTAATATTAATGCAAAAAAACACAAAAAGTAAAGAAAGAAGAAGGGTAGATTAACATATGTTTAAAGTCTTCTATTTTCTGAACCTAGAGTTTTACTCAATTTATTCATGCAATCATCTTTAAAAAATGACATTCAATAAATTTAAAATTCAAATCTCAATACCGAGAATCTCTTTCTCTATTCTCAAATTGCAATTTCTTTTATATAAAAAATACTATTTTCTCAAGTTAGGTCTTATACGTTTTTTTTTCTAAAATTTTAGTTTTTCAATGCATTTGTGTAATTTCACATTTATAAAGTGTGTTCACTTGGTTGTATTTTACTTATAAGTTATCTATTTTTAATTTAATATATAGAAAATTCCAACATCAAATATAAGTATTAAACATAGAAAAAGAATTCCAATTTAAAGAAAAAAAATAGAAACTACTGTCAGTGATGAAAACCACATGCAATATTCAACTAATGTCCAGGAAAAAATGCATCATTTTTCTATGATTCCACAGAAAATGTATTCTTAAAATTAATAGATTTATGCTTAATTAATTGAGTTTTGCATTTTTGCAAACTTTGTTTAATCAGGATAGTTTAGATGTCAAAATCAACTAATCAAAATAATTATAAGAGAACTGCTTTTAATGAAGCAAATTATTTTGTTTCATATCAATAAGAGAATTAGGTAAGTTAGGGAAATTGCATAGTGCTGATGAAAACACATGATAATGCAAAGCCATGTGCAAAATCAAATCAAAATGATTTTTTGTCTTTCTATTACTTTTTTTTCCCACAAGGAAAACCAATGGGAAGAAGAAAGATAAAACTTTTTTCTCTCAAAGTTGCATCTCTTGAATATGATCAAAGACAAAAATAAACAAATAAATAAAAAAGTAGTGGATGGGGTGAAGTGAAAATATTCTAAAGGTTTTTTCTCTTTTTTTTCTTAATATTTCTTTTCTTATAATTTATTACAAGGTATATGTTATTTAACTTAAATTTATTTTTTTAATCTCAAGCAATCTAATCATATTCATTGTCTTCTTTCCTCTCTCTTTATAGATCGAGAAAGGTTAGTTCAGTGGGTAAAACTTTTTTTTCTTATCAACTATGGTTTGATTATTATAAAGAATATTTCAAAAATAAAACTTAAAATTATTTATAAAACAAATTAAATTCAGAAAAAATTTGAGAATGACCTTCAACCACATTATAAAATGATAGTGTCTTCTCCCTGCCTACTACATTTAGAGCTATCTACATCCTTCTAAATTAATTGCCCTTGCCTAAACAATTAATTGCCTTTGACCAGAAATTGTGTATTTCCGTTTTTTCCCATTATTCTAAATTCATTTATTGCTGGAATTTAAAAATTTCAAGTTCCCTGGTGTAATTACTTAGATATGATTATTTTAATAATTTTTTATATAATTATGGAAAAAAAATCTTCTCTATTACTTAAAAAATAGTGAAAGTTTTTACTATTTAATATAAAGACGATAAGTGCATTTTTAAACTAAATCTAAAGTTAATATTTGCTCAAATCATTTTTATATTTTATATTTGTTTTTATTTATTTTCATATTTAATTTAAAATTATTAAATATTCAACCATAAATTTAATTGAAGGTGGATTATTCATTATTCACCACTAGATAAAGTGATGAAAACTTTCACTATTTTTTAAGTAGTGAAGAAGATTTTTTCTGATCTAATTATAAATAAAGTAATACTAATTTTTCAAAAAAAATAAAATGATTTCGAGGTGGGAAATGGGAATCGTCGTATGAATTTCCTAATATTATCTATAGTCCAAGATTCCAAACATAAAATAAGCTAATCTGCTCACAATTGTTACAATAAGACTTGGACATAAGGTTGCTAAAAAATGGGAAGGAATAAGTCTTCTTATATGAATATTTTTTGTCATACATATGACAATTGTTGAATTTTATTGCTTAACATTTATTTTATATACAAAGACTTTGTTTGTTAATTCAGTTTAGAAAATAATTTAATTAACAGACCATTAATAAAATTTTGTGAATTTGTTGGGGATTTGTGACATAATCATTGTATATAAAACAAAAGCCTAAATATTTAAATTAGATCGAGACAAAGGCTTTATATAGATGATTTTGATATAAGTATAAAATTTTATGAATGCACTATGAAAGGTTAAAGAATGGTAGGACTTTTTGTTTTTCATGAAGTTGATCATGTGCTAGTTAAGAATATTTATAAAATTACAACAAAATAAAAATTATTTCTTTTTTTTCAATTCATTTATCAAAATCCTGGACTTGAGTGACCCAGAATTATTTTATCAATTGAATTATTATTTCAAAGAAACCAAGCATGTGTGGCAAGGACAAAAGTTCTTAAATTATTAATATTTTTATAATATATTATCTTCAGGATTTGTTTGGATGTAATGCTTACAATTTTTTTTCAAGGGAAGGCATAACTCTTATATGGGGAAGAAAGAAAAAGATCTTAGTTCGAAATCAAGACCTTTATATCCTCATAAAATCTCCTTTTTTGTATCATTTTGAAATTTATAATTTTATGTACTTTTGAAATATTTTATGAAAATCAAACATTGGCTGACAAGAAAAAAGAATTCCTTCTTTTTATCAAATGGATTAACCTTTGTGAAACATATTTATATAAAGGAAGTAATTTGTAAAGAAGGTAAAAAAATAGTACTGCTTTCTCTCTACTAATACATTGAAACTACAATTCACTTTGTCCCTAAAAATTCTTCAGTCTAAGTAACAAATTTGCGATCCAGAATAAGATTGAGATGTCTCATTCAATACTTTTGAGGTTATCAATATTAAAACAAGTGCATACAAAGGGGAGGGGGGGGGGGGGGAAATAAAGAATTGGTCTAATTCCTCAAAAATGGCAGACAGAAGACAAGAGCCACAAGCAGATTGATGCAGGAGGTTTTGCTCCATTCAGGGAAATGCATGCTAATGAAAATAAAAAAAGATAATATCTCTGGTAAAACCCTTTCTTTTTTGTTTAAAAGTTTTAATAAATTCTAACTATTTGACTTAAAACTCAGAACAGTTTTCACAGATGTGTGCTTTTCCCTCTATTACATGGCTGTGTCTGCAATTGTAGTATCTTTTTAAGTAAAGTTGCACTAATTATATAATAATAACTTTAATTAAAAATAAACTACAATTGTTTTATAGGGCAAAACAGAAAGAAATTGTAGCTCTTTAACATTAAAAAAATAACTCCAAATTCCGAAAAAAAAAAAAAAGAACTACAGCATCTGATAAAAAAAAGTTTATATATTTATATTATATGTTCTTTCTAAAGAATACCCAGCATTTGATATCCTTTGCATTCTTCTGATAGCATAAAATAATCTTTTGAGGTTGCTTTTATCTTACTACAAATTAATTCTATGAAAGACATAGAGATGCAGACAAACATAAACATATATGTAAGTAAAGCTATTTATTTGCCAACCTACTAAATCAAGCACAAAACCATGACTTTAAATTTAGGACAGTCCCTTCAAAGCAGTTCAACCATCTGTGCAAAAGTGGGATTATTAGCAGAGGCGTAAAGTAGAGATTAAAAAAGAATGTTGTTGATTAGCAAAACACAAAATCTCTAGAAAAACAGGATGCCCTTTTCCCTCAGCAATATAAATAATAAATATTTATGTTTTTTTTTTTTTTGTCTCTGTACATAATCAAAGATATTATAATGTACTGAGCATCAAATGAAAAAAAAAAAAAAAAAACAAATAAAATAAGTAACCCAACCAAGAAAATTATGTAAAAGGAAAAAAAAAACACTACTAGCTCATATGACTCATATCAATAATATAAATTGGAGGATATAGGGGAAAACAGTTTAAAAGAGTACTCTCTAAATTCATCTTTTATTGCATACAGAAAAAGAAAGAAAGGAAAGGGAGAGAGTTTAATGTACAATGAGATCACCCAAGGTTTTTCTCTTGTTTCACAATGCCCTCTTTTTGCTATTTTCTTCCAATCTCTCTACCTTTAAATACAAACACAACAATTTTGTAAGATCTAAAGAAAATTAAGTCCCATCACTCTCTAATTATATATGAAGCTGCTCTCCATTATTAATAAGGTGGCCGCCCATGCGCCCAAGCATAGGCCTCGTGCCCTAGCTGCCCTCCATTGGAGAGTAGATTAGGGGGCAAATTGTATAATGGAATTGTAGATGGATCAGGCAGACCTGTCTGTGGGCCGCTACTTCCGATTGCTGGTGGAGAATTGGTTGCTCCTCCTTGGATCTGTCCTCCATGGCCAGCACTGCCAGCTTCCTCTTCTTCTTCTATAGGCAATCTTTCATAAGTTGCGTTTGCAAATGTTGCTGCAATGACCATAACAGGCCCTGCTGCGATCAGTGGACCAACAACACTTCCTCCAACAACTTGTCCTTGACCACCAGCCAGATATACAGTGAGCCCTGTTGAGCCTGGTGGAGCTGGTCCAGGCAGAAAAGCCCCAGTCAAAGACAAAATCTCGAACCTTCCATGAAGAGCAACCACAGCTCCAGGTGCTGCTGGTTGTCTTAGTGTAACGTTTGCTACGGAGCCACTGCCGCTAAGCACACAAACCCCACGTTGTCGTTTCCGAGCGAATTGTGCTATGCTTTCAGCAACATCAGTACCACTTGCAACTTCCATGACATGGCTACGGAGCGCGTTTGGGCTGTCCCTGGTGACAAAAATGGGTGGTTTAGGCTTGTTTTTTGAGCCTGGAGGACGGCCTCTGGGTCTTCGGTTACCAACCTCAACTGCCCCCTCTTTAGGCTCATCGCCGGTGTCTCTATCTTCATCTTCATCCCCTCCGCCGTTGCTTCTATTTTTGCTTGTGTCGTTCATCGAAATTTCATTGTCACGTTTGTTTAAGGCTGGTGAATTGCCAGCCGGGTCCATGCCCGGCAAACTCAACTGATTAGCCCACCACGGGTTCGCCAGTGTTGCAAATTGAATTCAACAAACAAGTAACTAAACAGAAGAGCAAAAGACCAGAATTGCTCGATTTTTTACTTTCTTCTAACAACTTAATTAAAAGGGTTTTGAGATCAGAGAGTTAAATTAAAGAACAAATCAAAAAGAAAGAAAAGGGTTTGCTACAGCTGCCTCAACAAGGTTTTCTTTCTACTTGTTGTGCCTTGCCAGAACTGATCTATCATAAACTTTGATGAAGAAAGAGAGGGTTGTAGCTTGTTGAAGGAGAGGTGACAAGACAAAGGATATGAGAAGTTGTAGGAAAGAGAGAATTAGATGCAATTCCAAACTGGGAATCAAGTAAAGGGAGAAGAAATAAAAGAGAACCAATTAATCTCTAGTGAAGATGAACCAACAAGATCAACGACCCAGAAATATTTGATTAAAACAAAGAACCCTTGATAGCATCAAACACAGAGAAACTAGAAAGAAAGAAAAGAGCGACAAAGAAAGAGAGAAAGGAAAGAGAAAGAATAAACTAAAGCCGTGGGACAAATTTTGCAGTATTTAAAAGAACAAAAAAGAAAAAAAAAACTATACAAAAACATAAAACAAGATTGGATCAGATGTTCTTTTCTTTCTTTCTAGGTTGAAACTGTGTTGTGTTTTGATTTGGGCAGCTATTAGGTTTACTATATTAATATTAATTATCAATATTATTTGATTTACTACCCACTTTCCTAATTATTTCTTTTTTATTTTATTAAATAATTTATTTAAAATTTATATTTGATACATTATTTATACATAAATGTTATACACTTAATCCATATAAACACACTTTATAAAAATTAATTTTAAAATTTTAAAAAATAAATACACTTAATTCTAAAAACATATATTTAAAATTAATTTTTTTATAAAATATTATTAAATAATTAATTGATAATGTATGATATTTATATATTGACACTACATATTATATATATAAATTCATATATTATTATAAAATAATCTTATTATATATTTGTTTTTGGTTAATAAAAATGAGCTCTCCTTTTAGAGGGAGCCTCGGAAATTAGGGTTTCGTGGGGTCGCGTGCGCCAGGGCAGGTGGGGAGCATGTCGTTTTCTCGTGCCCCAACATGAGTAAGGAAGCAATTCAGAGAAGGAAAATAATTACAAAAAGTTTGAAAGAGAGGTCCAGTGAAATTTAACTCTTTTGCCTTCTTTTATTATTATTATTATTTTCTTTGTAGTTTGCACATAATCTTGAGTCCATGATTTCTACAGTTTCGTTTCCTTTTAGGTTAGGCCTTAAGTCTTTTTCCTCTAAACATGCATAAAAATAATAATACCCATTTAAGTTGAATGAAGAATTTGGCCACTTGCTCCTTTTTTTTTTTTTTTTTTGAGCAAGTTGCAAAGGTGTTTAATGTTCATATTATTGACTATGGGCAACATTTTCTTTTAGGTTGATACAGCAAGAATGGGTAAGTATGAACATGGTCGTATAATAGGTGCTTGCTATGGACATTAGTTCTTCTTTTTGCTACTCTAATTTAGAGGTGGAAGTTTAGCTAGCTACAATGGCACTATTAATAAACACAGATGGCACTAAATGTGTTTCGCTTGTTCATGTGCCCAGAGACGTAAATCACTTCGCAGATTTTCTAATTAAGATGGGTGTTAATCACATCGCAAATTAATCGTGTGATTGTAATGTTATAATTCTTTCAGTTCTAATAAAATTTTTAACTTAAAAAAATAGCCACAGGGGGCATATATCTATGGTTAATTTATTTTTTTAGGTCATATTATGCTAAACTTCTTTATATTTTGTAAAAATTTAAAATTTAATCCATGTACTATAATTTATACAAATTTAATTATTGTACTATTTTAATTTAATAATAATAATTCAATTACTAATTTTGTTATTTTTTTATTGTTAAAAATACTGACGTAGCTGTTGACTTGATGATATGAGCGCTGACTTTACTTATGTTGAAACCTGGATAAATTAAATTAGTTGTTAAATTATATAAATAGTCAATGTACTCATATGAAATTTGAAATTTAATCCATCTAATAAAAAAAGTATTTTGAATTTTTAAAAATTTCTTTAGTTTTTTTCTTAATTTTAATTTTTAAAAATATTTTAATCCCTATAACATAAAAATATTGTTTGTAATATATTAGTATTTATTATATATAATTAATTATTAATAATATCATATTAATAATATGACTATAATTTATATTATTCAATTGCAATATTAATAATTTAAATTAATATATCAAAGTTAATATTATTTTAATTGGTTTAGATATATCATATAACAAAATTTATAATGAACTAAACTATTAAATAAAGTTATATTTGTAATGAATTTGAAATAAACCTTGAATGAAATGATCATTACATCCAACAAAACAAAATAAGATTTTCAAATCTATATTCTTACTAGGGACAAGCTCCTATACACTTCAAGGATGAATTTTGAATTCTAACAAAACAACCGGGGCACATGATTTATTTGATAAATAAAAACATCAATACCATGTGTTATAATGAAAACTTTTAATTTTTTTAGGTCTTTACAAAAATTTTAAAAAAAAAAAACTTATCTAAATAGTTATGTCATAACATATAGATCCGAAAATCTATAACTTGACCTAACAAATGGAGTTGCCACCAATCTTTTTTAATTAGGTGTGATTGTCCACCTAATAAATCTATCATTTTAAGGAGCTCCTAAGCTTGATTAAGGGTCTCTAAAAGAATAAGTTTTGATTTACTAATCAGAACATGATTCGATTTAATTCCAAAATCTGTATTAATTTTTTAATTTTTTTGTTTAAAAATAAATATTAATTATTGTTATTGAAATTTTATCTAAATCATTTTACTATTTGAGATAATTTTAGACAAAATTTTTGACCTAAAAATCTTATGAAAATTTACCATTTGAAATTTCTTAAAAAAAATTTTCATCATTGGATAATTATTATTTATTCTTAAAAAAATATTTTATCTTTTTATTTTTCGTTTTTCTCAAAATTACATCATGCAAAAATACTTTAAAAATAATAAATAAAATAACTAATTAATTAATTAAAATAATTTATAAAAAAAACCAAAACATAAATGGCTCGGCGAAGCAACTTTGCTTTAGGCACAAGGTGGCTTCAGAAACTTGATTTGGCAGCTTGGTTTACGACTTGACTCAACTGGAGCCAAAGGTAAAGACACAAGTTGAAGGAGGGTCGAGCGTTCGGGTCGAGTCACCCAGCGATAAAATGCATGGATCTTGGACCTTTTTTAATCTTTAAAATGACGCCGTTTCACACTTATATAAAAGGTCAAAATCTTCTTTTTTTCTTAGATTTCCTTTCATCCCCTCTCTCTCTTCTTTCTCTTTTCTCTTTTTCTCTCTCTAAAATGGAAGAATTTTGATTAAATGCTTTATCAAAAACTAGGAAAAGCCATCAAAAATTAAAAAATATCATCCAAAAATGCAAGTTGCACCAAAAATTTTCATCAAAATCTAAAAATTTTTCAAAAATTTCTAGAAAAAAATTGCTAAATTTTCTTAAAAATTCTCCTAAAAATTTTCGGTTACTTTTGGTATGCGTTTCTCTACCTTTCAATATGTGTTTGTGTTTCTACCTATGTTTGTTGCTTGTGTTTTTTATCTCTATATTTTGTGTTTTTGTTTCTCTGTGATCTGTGTGTATTTATAGTGAAAATCAAAAGAATTTTTTATTAATCACGACTTAATCTTTAACAAGATCACATCACAAATCCAATCCATCTACAGTTCCACTAACACCAATCCACAGCAAAATATTTATCACCTTTATTATTATTCTTTTTTTTGTACTCTTTTTATCACTATTATCTCAACCAAAAAACTAAAGATAAAATCAAATAAAAACAAAAAAATCAAAGATAAACAATAAATGAATAATCAACCAAATAATAATAATAATAATAATAAATAAAACAAATAAATAAATAAATAAGTAAGTCAATAAAACCTAAAATAATGAATTATTGGACTTACAATTTAGGCTCTATTAAGCCAGGGTTAATTCGTTCAGGCCCGAACCCAATAGGGTATCTACAAGTTATGTTAAATTAAATAATAAGGTTAATTCTAAAATCAATACATATTGAATTTACTAAATTACTTTAATATATTTAGAATCTTAAACTTAGATTTGATTATAAAAAATTATTTAAATAGGGTTTAATGTAACATAATAGAAATATTTTTGATAGATAATTATACCGTTATGAGATGTAATTATAATTCTAATTCATCTAATAAATTAACAAAAAATAATATTTTTTAAAATTATATATTAATATATTTGTATTATATATTGATAAGTTTGTGATAGATTTTTAATAGATTTGTGTAAGATTTTTTTTCTATATGACTACAATATACTACAATTTTGATAGAAAAGTGTGACAAAATTAGTAACAAATTTATATTTTATGATGGAATGTAACAAGAAATAGTGATCGAATTAGTAACAGTATTTTATATAGGTGACAAAAAATTATGACAGATTTAGTAATAATATATGAAAATTGTGATAAAATATTGTGATAGATTTTCAATATTGTGATAGAATATTATAAAAGAATGTTGTGGCAATTTTAAAATTTTAAAAATTTTTAAAGATTCAAAATATTTTTTGTATTAGAGAGAGTAAATTTCAAATTGCATGCGAGTGTAAAGATTAAATTTCAAATTTCATGCCAGTACAATGATTAAATTTCAAATTTTGTATGAGTATAGGAACTATTTACATAATTTAACAACTAATTTCGTCCTATCTAATTGCCATGTCAGTAAGTCAACAAAATGTTAAGAAAATCGATACCCATATCATCAAATCAATGGTCATGTTAGCATTTTTAACGATAAAAAATTGACGAAATTAGTAATTTGACTAAAATTATCAAATCAAATTATACGAGGATTAAATTTGTATAAATGATAGATTTTCAATATTGTGATAAAATATTATAAAAGAATGTTGTGGCAATTTTAAAATTTTAATATTTAAAAAAATTAAAAAATTTTTTAAGGATTCAAAATATTTTTTGTATTAGAGAGAATAAATTTCAAATTGCATGCAAGTGTAGAGACCAAATTTCAAATTTCATGTCAGTACAATAATTAAATTTCAAAATTTGTATGAGTATAGAGACCATTTGCATAATTTATAACTAATTTCATCATGTCTAATTGTCACATCAGTAAATCAACACAATTTTAGGAAAATCAATACCCATATCATCAAGTCAATGGCCATGTTAACATTTTTAATAATAAAAATTTGACGGAATTAGTAATTAGACTAAAATTATTGAATCAAATTATATGAGGATCAAATTTGTACGAATTATAATACAATGACTAAATTTTCAATTTTCACAAAATATAAAGACCTTTAACATAATTTAATTTTTTTTATAATACTATTAGGGATATTTTCAAGTTTTACCTAAATCTTATCTCATTTTCTTTAAACAATTTTAAAAATACATTCGATTAATTTGATGTAACTAAACTAATTAATTAGTCAAATTGGCACCATCATCATCTTCATATCTAAGGCCCTTTCAACTATTGATAATCGATCTTCATTTGTAAAACGAGGCATGATGCCATGCCACCTCTATATGAATTTTAGGATAGAGCTACATATTTTCCAATGCTATTGTCATAAGTAATTAATTTTGCTGCATTCTTTTTACACTTTTAATAACATTTTTATTTTTGAAAAATTATCTAATTAGTACATGATAGGTAAAGTTTTTAGATTCTATTGGCAATTTCAATCTATTGTCATATATACCCTATTATGGTATTATTTAAAAATTAATAAATAAAATGACTTATATGTGATAATTTAAACCCATTCATAAAGTTTAAGACTACATTGACTGTGCATAAAATAAAAATCCTTTTTATAAATCCGACTACACAAAACAAAATTTTTACAACATTTTAAATAGATAAATAGGAGCACATTTTAAGTTTTGGCTACATAAAAATAGATGCTACACTAAATAAGTATAGCTAAAATTCAAATTTGTTATGGTAAACATTGTGTGAACCCTAACATTGGCAGAGCTAGAGGTGGCAAAATGGGCGGTCGGCCAGTGGCATGAAATAGTCCAATCCGTTATAAGCCGTGTCAACATAATTCATATTATTACAATAATTGTGTCGAGCCAAGCCTAACGCTCTTAGTCGTGCCGTATTAAGCTTAGCATTTCAAGGTCCATGGGCTAGCCCAGCACAAACTCGTGATTGGCCAATGGTTGGCCCATAGCATAGACCCAGCATGGCATGACCCATATTTTACTAACAAAGATATATGATTAATTAATTCTTTAAAAAGATCTATCCATTTTCTAACAAAATGCTCTATTTTATTATAGCAAGATAAAGAATTAATCTACATTTAAAGTGATCGATTTGTTTTTTTTAAAAGCTCATAAAGATCAATCGATTGGATGTTGAATATCGCTTACAAGAAAAAGTTGTATCATTTGAAGAAAAAAATAATTTACATCATTGGAAGAAAAAGTTGTAAATTTTATTATTTTTTAGTTAATTAATCTTTGTAAAATTTATTTATTCATAGTAAAAAATTTTCCTTTTTCCCAATTACATAGACATTTTAAGGCGAACCATATAAATCATGTCTCTAATTTTTTTTCATAATATGTCACTAATATATATATATATATATATATATATAAAACCCACAACTTTTTTAAAAAGTTAATGTAAAAAAATTTAAAAAAAAAACTATTTAATGGCCCAGGCTAACATGGCACAATCCATATTTTTTGTATTAAACTAGCTTTACCTATTTTAGTGCCATACCAAACATAGGGTTGTGCCATGCTAGCCTATTTGGCCCATTTTGCCACCTCTAGATAAAACCAAAGGTAAAGTTTTGAAAAAGCTTAAATTTTAAGTTTAGATCAGTTGGTTCATATAATCACCTTAAAAAAAATAATATCTAATAGATTTGAAATTTGAATTTTAACATTTACAATTTCTTTCCCTAGCTCTAAATATTGGCTTCCCTCGTACCAAAAATTTTTTTCAAAAAAACAAAAATTGCCTTTCAATATTTTATTAGTGGCTTCACAGAATAGACAATGGAATTTGGAAATGGAAAAAGGTGATTAAAATTTGTATATCCTCTATTTATGATTAATGCAAATTAGGTCAGATAGTAGTGTGATTTTGCAACTGGCAACAGCTAAAGTCTAACACATAACTTGATCAAACTCCCCCCATTAGCTTTGGCAACAATATCTCAACAATACTTCATTGTCCTCATCCATTACATAAAAGAAGAAGAAGATGACCAATAGTCCCTTCCTAATTTTAATTTTCTATAACCCTAATTAATTTGATATTAATATATTATAGGATTATATCACAAATAGTCTCTAAATAGTTAAATGTTTATTGTGATATCAGAATTTTAAAAATTTTTAATTGTAAATCTGTTAACTAATGTGGTATTTGAAAAGTTATTTGTCTAGCATACATTATCATTTGGAGCTATCTATGTTAGAAACGAGTATCACATTAATTAATTTGATAATTCAAATATCATATTAGAGATTTTTAAAACTTAGATATTACATTAAATATTTTACTATAATTTATAAACCATTTATGATATTAACCCTATATTATATATATATAAGTTATGCTAGTGTAGAATTAATTTAGTGTTATATTTTTTATATGATTATATTATATATAAGAAGGATCTAATTATATTAGTGTAAAATTAATTTTATTTTATATTATTTTATATTTTTATGATTTATATTTTGTTGATTTAACCAATGAATTTGATACTTTATTTTTTATAATAACATATATGCATATCATATCTAATTTCAAGATAATATATATATATATATATATAATTACGACCGAAAGTCAAGAGGCTTTTATTTTACCATGCCAATTCCCCATTTGTGAATGTTAACATACATGAATACCGGCGAAAATGTATTTCAATTCGACATCATATATTATAAGGTTATGGAATAACTAATTATGAAATTTTACAATAAAAAAATTATTCATATCCATTATTAACTCCTATATGAAGATTTTTCCATTTTATTTTTTATAAATGTAATTAACTGCTTGGAATTAGTTAACTTGTTCTAGCTTTGTTAATTTCTTTTAAAAATGTCGTAATTTGATAATAAAAATAAAAATAATGAATATTAGAATTTAAAATCTAAATTTATTCGATGTTATTTTTTATTGCTGACTGGATAAACAAACAAAGCTAAGTATTGGATTTAACTTTGCTAATCTTTGATTATTTATATATTTCTTTTGAGTTAGAAAAAAAAATTACATGAGATTAAATAGTGACTCTTATACATTTATGTTTACTTCTAATAAAACATGGAAATAGAAATCATACATAGAACCAAATCAATAGAACATCGCAAATTTGATGTTACTAAGTTAATTTAAGAGAAAATCAATTAAATCAAATAAAATAAATTAGTTTAAAAAAAAAAAAAAAAAAAACCTCTTACCTAAATTAGAACTTGAGTCTAGCTAATGGTATTGCTGTAGGGTTGCAAGCCATTAGAGAAGCTAGTTTCCTCTGTTATATGGAGTAACCCTATAGATTGCCCAATTCAATATTTTTAGTTGGCATTATGATTTTAATGCTCCCCACAATGACAGACCTAGCAATTCATCTAAATAAAAATTATTTTTTATTTTATTTTAATTTCAATCATTTATATTATAAAATTCGAAAATGGAAAGTAAATGACATAGATAAATATATATAATTTAATACTTTTTAAAGATTTTTAGATCAAATATATCTAAAAAAAAATTTAGATCAAATAATCTAAGCTACATATATAAGTAGTCAAAGTTAGAATGATATGAGATCACAAAAGAGATTTTTCCATATCAATATTGCTGGATTCATGACAAGGGAAATCCAATAAAGTGCAATAAATATGGGAAAGTCAGCGTCAAAAAACATTTGTGGAGCATCCAAGGTATGTGGTTTTGCTTTTCTTACAAGAACTTAGGGTGTGTTTGATTGGACAAACTGTAACATCTTCATTTCCCATTAATAAAATTCTATGACTTCAACATTTGTCTAATTGGCATTCGGCCCTTTGTTGCTGGAGAAATTGTATGTATCATTTACTTGTTCCTTGTCACCAACTCCATACATGAGACCGATTAAAAAAAAAACGATAGGACATTCAATGTTTATCCATGGGCTCCGTCCTGGTAACTTCAAGTATAAAAAAATTGAAATAAAAATGACCCATTCATTTAATCTTACTTATTTTCTTATGATTTTGACCTTAAATTTTTTTAAGTACAAGATTGTCTATGCGACTGCAGTTAAATATGCTGCAAGAAATCGTCAAGAGTACAAACGTTGCATTGTCAACAAGAACTCGTAGAACAAGTTGGTTTTAGAGAGAAATTTTCCATCAATTTTCCAAGAAAAAGTCTCTATAAATAGGCTTTGAAGTAACATTGTCATTTGTCAACATGTTTTTACAAGTTACTGCAATAAACTTATATCTAAATTCCAATCCTTTTTTTCCTCTGTTTCCTTCACATTTTTCGCTTTTCTTTGGTCAAAAACAGTTTGATGAAATCAATATTGCAACATTCAAATGCGGACTTCCCGGCTTTAATTAGTCAAACAGCAATTGCAGTTTCTTCTTAGGATTGGCAACCACGCCAGGAAATGGTAAGTAGTACCAGATTCTCAAGAAAAAAAAAAAAAAGGCTTTTGGTACCTTTGACTTGGCAATGAATTTCCAACTTCAAGAATTTGGTGGTTTCTTCAACCACGGACATACCTAAGCATCCTGCATAGAGAAAACGATCACCAATAGCGGAGGTTCTTTCTAGAAATGCTCAAGTATGTCATTTGTGGTTTGATTTTATTCCTCATTTCTTGTATGAACACATGTATGATGAAAATCTATACCATGTTGAATAGCAAGTAAAAAATTTGAGACGGGGTTCTTTTCCCCTTGCATGTATTTAGCATGACAACTATGGAATTAGGCCATCAGTTGTCTTAAGTTCTCTTCATTTAGTGCTTTTAGAAGGTGGTATATACAATCAAGTCCAAAGCAAGAAGAAAAACTAGTTTTCTTAGTGACTTCATGCAAAATTGATTACTCTTGTTAGGGCACATATCCAGTCAAAATTAATTAGGCAAGGATGTTATAATAAGTATGAAGAATGGATGATATCATTTCAGGTGAAGACTGTCCAGATCTCTACATGTTACAACATTCAAAGAATGCCTTTAATCACTTGAAAAGTAAAAATATTCCATCTCCTGATATTTCATTACTGACTAACCAAAATGGGAGACAATAGGTTCAATTAATCATTCAATAAAACTTTTAGTACCTAAATCATGCTTAAGATAAACATCTTCAAACAGATTATGGATCTAAACAAATAGAGGTATGTTAAAGCACAAAGCACGAGGATTGCAATCAACAGTAATGAACAAATTAGCCATTTACCTAACGAGATAGTATATAATTAAGAAGGAAACCACAAAGCCCACCACCAGTGTACACATTCTCCGATTGGACTTCTTCTCAAACACCTAAAGAGCATAATCTCATCATATTGAGCCAATTTTTATCAGCAATAGAAATCAAATTTAAACAAACATGAAGCGAAAATAGTAGAGCAGATCTTGTTTAGATACCTTCTTGAACCGATCCATGGTGCCTGACATTATACCCCTTGTAGCATCCATGCCATTGCCCTGTGATTTACATCAAAATCCATTAAAAAGAAGAAACCAGATTATTTTCACAAACATTGAAGTTTGAGGCATAACAACTGCAACCTTCATACCATACGGTCAAGCAAACGGTTATGGCTCTCCACCTCATCATGTATATCACCTGTTAACTATAAAGAATTTATTCATATCAAAAGTAGGTCAAAAGAGTATAAACCATAAAATTCCACAGCATTTTCCTCCATCTGTCTTGTTTTATCGAAGACAAACTAATACATTTCCCCACGGTACAAGTAATTCTATTGTGTAAGTAAAGGTGCACAAGGCTTTGTTTGCACGCTTATACGGGTACATAAATACATGAACAAATAGAAGACTTTATGCCGGAATATGCAACGATAGACCGGTGTGAGTGGCAAAGAGGTAAAATAAACAATGCATATTGACATTGAGGGGCTCATTAAATGAGCTTCAAATTCAAAATCTTAACCTTCAAGCACTTATCCCAGTATTTCCCTAGTGCTTAAGATTTTTCACAGTGACTAGGAGAAAAGACGAGGGGGAGAAAAACAGTTCAAACAGAAAGTTGCCATTCCCTTTACCGTTTCACATAGCATTTATCCAATATATGCATGGCTGTAGTTGGCCCTAGCATATCCATGCTAGTGTATCTACATATGATACAACATATATAGTAGCCCATAAAATAACAGCTAATGTACGCTAAAGATTTTGTGAACACCTCTGCATGAGCTTTCTCAAGAAAGCTGACCTAAAGAAAGGCTTTCTGAAACTAATTGTCATAATGTATAAATCCGTTGTATAAATTCGTGAACTTATAGATATACATAACAAAAGGAGTCACCACTAGTCTTTTATTAAGGTGTGATTGGTTACCGAGGCGAATCTATCCTTTTAAAGATATCCTAAGCTTAACTAAGGGTCCCTAAAAGAATAGGTTTTGGTCTGTATTTCAGAACTAAGTTCGAGAGTTCGGTTGCGTGTGGAGAAGGTTATAGCACCCTCATAACACCCATTCTAAGATGGTACCATTTAATTATAAATTATCCTAACAATCATCTTGGTTTTAATAGTCATTATTTTAATGTTTAAATATTGAAAATAACTTTTAAGATTTTTTTACCAATTTGGTAGAATTCTTAAAAATATTTTTTCACCTAAAGAGTATTCAAAAATTTCATTTGTTTTCTTAAATAGGTTCTATCATCGGAAAAACTTAGCCATTTTTTTGTTAAATTTTTATTTTGTTGAAAATATATTTAATTTTTTCACAATTTGAGATAAAATTAGAAATATTCTTTCGCCTAGAAATATTTTAGATAATTATCCATTTGCAATTACTAAGAATTTCATCTTCGGGATTTATTTTTTATTTTACAAGTTTCATTTCTAAATTTTTCACCATTTGAGCCTAATTTAGACATATCTTTCTTAGAAATTGAGCTCTTGTCATTTTTCAATTTTTTTAGAAAGAAAATAATATAACAATTATTATTTGAAGTCTCATTTAAAATCTTCCACCATTTGGTTGAATTTAGAAGGAAAAAGAAAAAAAAAAACTTTACCTAGAAATCTCTTAAATTTTCAACCATTTGTGATTTTCCTTGAAATTTCATCCTTAAATGATTGTCAAATATTTTTGTGAAATTTTAAGTTATGTTTTTTATTTTTTATTTGGAAAAGAATACATTACTTTTATTTAAGTTTATCTAAATTATTCTATCATTTGGGTTAAATTTAGAACAATTCCTCACCCAAAGATTTCTTGAAAAATTTATCATTTAAAATTTTCAAGAATCTCACCATTAAAATAATTGTTAATTCATTTCCAAGAATTTTATTAACTTGCTTATATATTTTTTAAAAATGAAAATAAATATTAATTATTGTTATTAAAACTTTATCTAAATTTTTCCTCCATTTTGGTTAAATTTAAAACAAAATTTCTCACCTAAAATTTCTTATAAATTAATCATTTATAATTTCTAAAAATTTCTTCATCGAATAATTTCAATTTACTATTACAAATTAATTGACTTTCATAATAAAAAATTTAGTTGTACAAGTTGAACTAAATTTGCAAATTTATTTTATCAAAATCTATTTTTAATTTTTATTGTATTTTTATATATATTTATGTTCAAATAATTAAAATATTGCCTAATACTGTGCATGATAAAATAGATAAAGACTAAAATACAAGTAAAGTAAATAAACAAAAATACATACCAAAGTCGTACCAATTCAAAGCAAATGGTCCCCTGGAATAAATGTAGCCCAACTCACTTTGCTAACTATTAAAATCGATTTGGGTTTAGACTTGTTATCACTTCAAATCCAAGGTCAAATCTCCTTATTTTTTATTTTTTTAAGTTTCTCCAATCCTCGTTTTTGCTGCTCTTCTTTTTCAAGCCAAAACAAATGTTTCTAGACCAAAACTCTAGCAGCATCGTGACATTCTAATCACCCATTTAGAGCGTCGTCGCCCTCATCTAGCACTCCGGTTGCTGCTCGTACACACCGTTTGAATGCCAAATTTCAGCCAAACATTCCTCCCGATGTCCCTTTTCTCATTCACAGGTTATTAAGTGAAAGTTGTAAAAAAGCCAATGGGGTGGTGATGAATTGCAAAGAGCAGTGTTTTCTGGTGATTTTTGTATTTTTCAGCTTCAAAATCAAAGGATCATTTCTCATCATGTGATATAACTTGGCACTTTGCCCTATTCCACTACTTTTTTCATTCATCTTATTCCTCATAAAAGGATTTTCATTACTTTGACCCAAATCATTTGTGGTATTCATTTTTGTCTCTTTTTTTTTTTTTTGTAAAATCGGTTCTTTTTTTTCTACTCCCTATCTTTGAGATCTGTTGTTATCTTTTGTTTTTTTCCTTTTTCAAGTATGTTCTTCCCAAAATTTGCCCTCAAGTATGGAGGGTGATCCTTAGGTGAGATTTTTTAGAAAAAATTAATAAAAAGCACAAAAGGGATAGCAATTAATGGTTTTATAAATGGTTAAAAAATATGACCATTTTTCATCTCAAATATAATACTTTCTTTGAAAATCATTTATTGAACAAAGACAAACTCATTGATCATTATAAAAGATTGTATGTCTTCAAGACATGTTCATTTCATATCTGCTTACAGATTACTTCTTTTGCTCAAATAGTCTCCACAGATCAATATGAATGAGTTTTCAAAATTAAATCCTAGAATTATTATTATCATTGTCTAAACATTCATCATTTGAAATGTGAGAATGGGAATAAAAAAGACATGGGAAATAACAACGCATGGAATAATGGCTTAGGGAAAAAGACAATGTAATAAAATGCATCAACTTGCCTTCTATTAAAATGATAAAAAATGAAATCTTATTACATAAAAAAAATCCTAATATTACTTTAAAAGAAATTCTAAAATGACAAGCAACTTCCAACTAGCCTTAACATCCTTGTCCTTCCCAAAATTATGCCTCCATGTGATCAGAGGAAGGGTTTTTTTGACATCCGACCCCACTGATTCGTCAAAGCTCACTAAGCCTTTTTGGATCAAACTTTGCACCTTGTGCTTGAAAACGAGACAAGTTTTTATAGAATGACACGTTCCCATTATGATAATCGCAATGGTTCTAAAATAACTAGATATACCAAGTCATTCTTGACTAGTTCTGGGAATAATTCAGTGTAACTCATGAGGATAGGATCAATGTGGGCCCTTTCTTGGTTGTTCCGAGATCTCCTCAAACCATTTGCTTGGTTGTTAGGCCTTGAAGCTAATATAGTGATATGACTAGACCCATATGCAGGTATTTGAAAGACTGGTTGGTAAGTTAGTGGGTAAGCTAGTTGTGGAACAAGTTGGTAAAGGGCTTGCACAATGCTATTAACCGTGGGATAGTAAACAAGATGAACAGGTGGTGGATATGGAGCATAACTTTTGAATTGTTGCCCATCGAAATTTACAGCTTGGGCTTTGGTTTCTTTCATTTTAGACAACCTTCCTTTATTGGTGGTTTCTCCTTCCAAAAGCTTGTCACTCTTGATAGCATTTTCAATAATCTCTCTTGAGATCACCATATCAACGAAGTTCTTCGTTGCATTTCCTATCATCCTATTATAGTAAGGACTTTTCAAAGTACTTACAAACATCACTGTAGTCTTTTTTTCAGTCAAAGACAGTTGAACTTGAGTAGCCACACCTTTCCACCTTTGGACGTACTCCTTAAATGACCTTTTTTTCCACATTTTGCAAGGAAAAGCAATCTAAAGCCAAGTCTATGATGAGACGGTACTGGGTGATGAATGCCTTTGTCAATTTCTTTCATGAAGTAATGTGAGTTCTATCCAATTAAATGTACCATCTAGCTGTAGAACCAATAAAACTGTCTTGGAACACATGTATCAACAGCATCTCATTGCTTGTGTAAGCAACCATTTTTCGACAGTACATGATAACATGAGTTATCAGACACTTTGTACCATCATACTTTTCAAACTTCGAGACCTTAAATTTTAGTGGGATCACTACATCCAGAACTAAGCAAAGGTCAGCTGCATCCATTAAGCCATAAATATTCTTCTCTTCAATTACTCATAATCTATCCTCTAATAAGTTCATCTTTGTTCAGCTTTTAAGCCTTCTAAAATCTCAACCACCTTCGATCTTATCTTCTTTTTCTCTTTTGGATCATCCAGGTTGGGGACTTGTATTGATTCTTCTCCTTTTTTTTAAAGAAAGGATTGACATAACTCTGAAATTGCCCCTTAGTTGATACAAAAGGCACTCTTGGATAGGTATATCCCGCCAGGCATGAGATTTGTAATGGAGGAATGCCTTAGGTAGATTGAACCTAATATAGGCCATAACTAGGAAGATAAAGAGGATCAACAACATCATGTGATGGATGGTCTTGTGGGCTAGCATCTTCTTGTACGACCTTTCCTTTGTTCAACTTGTTTACGGCTTCTAAAATTTTACTCAACTCCCTTTCAAGTTTTTCTTGGGCATCTCGATTTTCTCAAGATGATTTGCATTTTCCTATTCCATCTGTCTAGCTCAAACTCTAGTATTGTATTGATGGTGGGTTATTTAAGTAGGATTCTTAAACAATTGAACTATCATTGAATCTTATGTACAACAATTAGCATGCTCATGTTACTAAGTGTGTGTGTGAAGAAGCTTTCAAAATTAACCTAACTTTTTTAAGAATCCTATATGCATGAATGAATGAATGCATTGAATGCTTGACACAACAAACTATGATTCATAAACACATTAATGTATGCACAACAATGTATGAATGCATGTACTGATGTTTGTCACATTACGATTCGTGGATGAAAATATATGTTAGTGATGCTGTATTAGAATACAATAAACAACATACAACAACTTAAAAATAAATAAGGATCAAATAACATTTATCATGAAGTTGATATGAATGAAGCTCAAAAGGTCCACTCATATGTCCTAACTAAGGTTACATTATAATAATGGGTAGATATGACTCTAACCTAAGGTTGGCTTCTTATGTTTTACTACATATGGTTTGAGTTAAATCTAAAAGTTTCCAAATTGTTCTTACATCATTGTCCATCATAGACTAGTAAAACACTCCAATTCTCGCCCATCATAGGCTACAAACGGAAAGAATTCAATTTGAGTGGAAGTATTTCGCTAGCCATTACGGAGATTATCATCTCACGAGGATGTAGTACTTTACTCCCTCCTAAGAAGGACGAAACTTAGGTATAGAACTCATGTGATACACATGCATGTAACAGTGTGTGTGAAGGAACACATCTTTATTCGCAATTTTCACAAGCCAAGTCAAAGAATAAAAAACAATAAAAATAAATGCAAACAAAAATGATCAATAATTGAAGACCAAGCAAACTAAAAATTAGGATAATTCAAAATTAATTATGGCCTAACTCTCAGAGTCTCCAATAGAGTCATCAAACTATTATAACATATAGATCCATTAACCTATAGCTAAACATAACGTAAGGAGTTGTCACCAATCTTTTATTAAGGTGTGATTGGTCACCTAGGCGAATTTATCCTTTTAAAGATATTATAAGCTTAACTAAAGATCCCTAAAAGAATAAGTTTTGATCTGTATTTCAGAATTAAGTTCGGGAGTTCAATTATGTGTGAAGAAGGTTATAACACCCCCACAACACCCATCCTTAAGATAGTACCATTTAATTTTAAATTATCCTAATAATTATCTTGGTTATAATGATCATTATTTTAATATTTAAATATTAGAAAGAACTTTTAAGATTTTTCCATCAATCTAGTAAAATTCTAAAAATATTTTCTCACCTTAAAAGTATTCAAAAATCTCATTTGTTTTCTTGGAAAAACTTAATCATTTTTTTTGTTAAATTTTTATTTTGTTGAAAATATATAAAATTTTTTCACCATTTGGGACAAAATTAGAAATATTCTTTCACCTAGAAATGTCTTAGATAATTATCCATTTGCAATTACTAAGAATTTCATCCTCATGATTTATTTTTTATTTTACAAGTTTTATTTCTAAATTTTTCACAATTTGGCCCTAATTTAGAAATATCTTTCGTAAAAATTGAATTCTTGTTATTTGTCATTTGTTTCTTTAGAAAAAAAATGATATGACAATTATTATTTGAAGTTTCATCTAAATTCTTTCACCATTTGGTTGAATTTAGGAAAAAAAAATTCACCTAGAAATCTCATAAAAATTCTATCATTATGATTTTCCTTGAGATTTCATCATTGGATAATTGTCAAATATTTTCACAAAATTTTAATTTATGTTTTTTATTTTTTTATTTGGATAAAAATACATTACTTTTATTGAAGTTTGTCTAAATTATTCCACTATTTTTGTTAAATTTAAAACAATTTCTCACCTAGAGATTTCTTGAAAAATTTACTATTTAAAATTTTTAGGAATCTCACCATTGGAATAATTGTTAATTCATTTCCAAGAATTTCATTAACTTGTTTATGTATTTTTTAAAAATAAAAATAAAAATTAATTATTGTTATTGAAATTTTATCTAAATTTTTCCTCCATTTGGGTTAAATTTTTAAAAAAAATTCTCACCTAGAAATTTTTTAGAAATTAACCATTTATAATTTCTAAGAATTTCATCATCGGATAATTTTCATTTACCATTACAAATTAATTGACTTTCATAATAAAATATTTAGTTGTACCAATTGAATTAAATTTGCAAATTTACTTTATCAAAACCTATTTTTAATTTTTATTGTATTTTTATATATATTTATGTTCAAATAATTAAAATATTGCCTAACACTATGCATGATAAAATAGATAAAGACTAAAATACAAGTAAAGTAAATAAACAAAAATACATACCAAGGTTGCACCAATTCAAAGCAAATGGTCCCTTAGAATAAAGGTAGCTCAACTCACTTTGCTAACTATTAAAACCGATTTGGGTTTAGACTTGTTATCACTTTAAATCCAAGGTCAAATCTCCTTATTTTATATTCTTTTAAGTTTCTCCAATCCTCATTTTTGCAGCTCTTCTTTTTCAAGCCAAAACAAATGTTTCCAGACCAAAACTCTAGCAGCATTTGACCTTCTAGTCACCCATTTAAACCGTCATTGACCTCGTCTAGTACTCCGGTTGCCGCTCACCCACACCGTTTGGATGCCAAATTTCAGCCAAGCATTCCTCCCAATGTCCCCTTTCTCGTTCACAGGTTATTAAGTGAAAGTTGCAAAGAAGGCACTGGGGTGGTGATAAATTGCAAAGAGCAATGTTTTTTGGTGATTTTTGTATTTTTCAGCTTGAATTCCCATGTGTTTCTATCTAATTCAACACAGCCAAGCTTTTGATTTTTCCATTTGATTTTTTATTGTTTTGTTTTTGAAATAATCAAATAAACTAAAGATAATTAACAGATAATAAAAGAAAGATAATAGAATAAATCAGATTTTATATATATATATATATATATATATATATACAGACAAATAAAACAAAATAAAAATAATCATAAAAAAGAACTATTGGACTTTGAATAAACCCGAGCCCAATCGATTTTGGGTCTTTGTGTTTGAAATTAAATTGGGCTCAATTAATTTAGACCTCAGATAAAATGGGGTGTCTACACTAATTTATGATGATTTTAATTTATATTATATTATATTTTATTTAATCGTATTATGTGTGTGTGTGTGTGATGCTAGCTTATGATGCATGCTATATAAGGGAATTCCCAGTGCCACACATCCTAAATGCCAACCCGATAAAATTCAAGCATCTAAAATCGTCCACAAGACGATGGTAACTTTACCTAGACTTGAAAAATATGCAAAGGTTTAGACAGGTATTTAACATTTTAAAGGTTGCAAATAATCAATAAAACTGCAAGGTAAATCTTCTTTGACAGAACTTACTCTTTTCAGGAAGGCAACTCTGTCTTGCAAGCTGTCTATAGCTTTATCATTGTCATGGTCCTCAATTTCATGAGAGAAAGATGAAGAGGCCCTGAGACCACCTTCTTCAAGCTTATCAAAGCCATCAAATAGAGCTGATTTTGAAGAGTGGTGATCCCTACACAATAAGTGATCATGCCATAATGTAGAAAAGATGAACCAATATAACGAATAAAAGGATCATACTTAATGGACCACAAAAACTTAGTAAAAGGATATATAACAAGAAAGAAAATTTGGGTAAGAGGAGATGCAGAGTTTGACTGTATCACATATAAAATAAGGCCATACAGTACCACTACCAATTTGTCCTAGTTCAACAAATGAAGCTGTTAATTTAGTTGTAAAAATACAAGACGAAAAAGAAAGATGATGAACTTTTCCAACCATCAGAAATCATATCCATGTTCCCACATAAAAGATAAAAACACGAGTCTACAATTAGAAAACTAGAATCAGGTATTATCAGGTCCATCCAGAAAAGAAAACAACACAAACGAAAATGAAATAAGAAACTCAATTGGGAGTACAAAAATCCCCAAACAGATTAAGAACTTATACAAGAAATCTCAACCCCTGTCATTACAATCAAGTTATTGAAACCCAATATCATAAAAAATAGATTGGGACGAATTTTAAAGGAAAACATTAAAAGTCAGGTACTGAGGCCAAATCAACCATGAATTTTCATAGCAAGTGCAAGATTAATGCAGCGAGTAATAGAAATGAGCAAAGGCAATACAGATCAAAGAAAATATCAGAGAGATGAACAATTCAAGAAGAGAATCATCCTAGGATTACAATTCTTGTCTTAGGGAAGGAATATAGACGAATCAACTAAATTAACTGAATTTTAATCTAAGGATCAAGAGAACCCTAAAACCTAAGGGATCAAACCAAGCTACAAATCAAAATCAAACCTGAAATCTGAAAAGCCTTCAAAATAATAATAATAATAATAATAATAATAATAATAATAATAATAATAATAATAAGCTCATTACCGTTACTAATTTCATCAAGTTCCAACATTTTCGAATACTTGATCAATTTAACGTTTAAAATACTTCAAGTAATTATAAGGAAATATAAACAGCATTCAGGCAAAGCTGCAATTCGAACAAAATGTAAGGCAAAACCCTAGAAAAAATTAACCAAGTAATTGATTCTCGTGAAATCATATTGATGTTTAAATGTAAATAAAAAATTAGCGACAAACAAATTTCTGAAAAAAAATACTAACCTTCTGTAACTCATTACTGTAATTCCGCACCCTTTTATCAAATCCGCTTTCAATAAATTTTCAATAAAGAAAAAAAAAAGAAAATTGGCTGACGTAATTTGTTAAGGTAGGTTGCAAATTCTTTTTTCTTTTTTTATTTAACTGGTAAAGTACCCTTGCGATGCTTTGGGAAGTAAGAGAAAAGTAAATTTTTTATTATTTATTTATTTATTTTTAATTAATAAAAATTTAATTATTAAATTATTTAAAATTATCTTTTAAGGGAGTATGTTCACCTTATTTTGAGGTTTGAGTTCAATTTTTTTAATAAAAATTAAATTGGTTTACAAAATATTCATACTTTTTAAAAATTTTTTAATTATTTGGAATCTTATTATTTTTAATAAAAATTTTTAGGCTAAAATATTTAAAAAAATTTTAACATTATCACTTTATTTAGATAAATTTTTATATTTTTATTACGTTCAAATAAATTCACATATTTTAATTTGTATTCAAATAATTCTTTATTTCAAATTAATTACAAAAATAATTTAGCTCCTTTACTCATGTAAAAATTAATATTTTATATAAGTAAAAGTTTAATCTCAAGCATTTGTGATAGTGAAAAAATGATATCCTACATGCATTATATATTATGTTAAAGTCTATTTACATGCAAATTAAAAGTTGAGGGTTTATTTAAATACAAATTAAAAGTTAAAAACTTATTTTGAAGTAATAAAAATATAGAAACTTATTTAACTAAAGTGATAAATTTTAAGATTTTTTTTATTTAATCAATTTATTTTTATGTTTTGTAATTATTAAAAATATTATATTATATTATATTTTTGTTATTTTTTATTAATGGCTCATTTACATAACAAATTAAGAAAATTTTGTATTATGATAATAATAACAATGAATTATTATTTTTTATGATAATTTGAAATTAATTTTTTATTAAAATAAATTGTAAGAATTTTCTTACACTTTAATAAAATTGACTATATGATTTTTCAATTTAAGAAAATATTTTAAAATTTTTTATAACAAATTTCAAAATAATTTTCATCTTCAGAGATTTTTCAAATGATCATTTTTATTATTAACTCTATCTTTTTTATTATTTAAAGTAACATATAAAACAAATATATATATATAAATAAAAGTTTAAAATATATATTTAAGGAGTGAAAAAGTTTGTAAAGAAATGAAATGAAGTTAAACATTTATATTTTGGATTTGAAAACCTTTGGGAGAAGAAGTATTTTTTTCTGATGAGTTATATTTTATTATTTTTGAAACTATTGATAATTTTAAAAACCTTTAAAAAATTATATTCTATGAACTAAACATGAGAATCATGTTGCAAAAAATTATATGTTTGAAAAAAATATCAAAATTCGCAAATCAAACACCATCTTAGGGAAGACTATTCGGGTTTTTTTATGCTTTTTTTTAGGTATTTATTTAATAAGTTTTATTTATCATTTCAAAAAAAATTTTCTCTATAACTTTTATGAATATATTTGATGAGACATTTTTAATTTTTTATTTTGTTCGTGAACAAATTTTAAAATTTTCAGCCAATGTAAAATATATTTTTTTCATAAAATTTGGTTTTAATTTTTTATAGCTCAAGAATGATTTTGATTCAAAGTTATTTGATTTCGAAATTTTTCAAATTATGATAAGATAAAAGTAAAACTCTTTAATTTTTTTTATATTGAAAGTTTTTTTTTTTTTTATATTTAAAGTTACCCAGAATTGAATTAAAGGCGAAACTCCTTAAATATTGTTATACGCTAATATGTCTTCATTTTTAGGATATTCCACATTTTATTTGCTCGTAAAAATAATTTAATTCCAAGTACTGAAGATGATTAAAAAATTAATGTTTTTGGCGTCGTGATAAGAAAGAAACTTACTAATAAGTGTTTTAAGAATACTTTATAAAATTATTAAATATTCTTTATTACTCTAAGTTTTATTTAAATTGTCACAATTGATATTTTTGGATCAACATTTTATATACTTGATACCTACTATTTACAATATTTTAATTATAAAATTTATATTTAAAAATCACTTCTTTCAAAGTTTTAATATTTTAATTATAAAATATATTTTTTATTAAGCATTGAATAAACAAAGAGTCGCAGAAGTAATGAAAAGTTGTTGTTTTTCATAAACAAAATAATACTTGCTCTTACTATATTGTTCCTTGTTGGAGCCATAGTTGACCAACTTTGGTTTCTTCTCACCATCATTTGTGTTCACTATTCTACTTCTACACAATTGACTTTAGTTTGAGTTGAAAAACTATGATGTTTCTCGTTTTTCTTTTGTATTGCTATTGTATTTAATTCATGCTTTGCTTCATTACTTTGTTCCGCAGACAACTGCACCAATTTCATGCCAGAATCCATACGAGTTCAATGCTTCCCTGCTCACCACGTTGGAAATGGAACATGTAATACCCGTAAAAAAAAAGATTATTTTAAGTATTTTATAAGTTGAGGGACTCTTTAATAAAGATTGAGAAATGTAGAGAACCTATTGATAAATAACACATTTTTTTTTAATAAGATTAACTTATTTTATAGTTTTCGGTGGACGATTAATCGAAAGAAAAATACAAGTTTATTTTTCCTCTGTTTCTTATATAGAAAAAACAAATCAAAGGATTTTAAGTGAAGGATAACAACAAAATCTGCAGGAATATTGTCTATTAAAGATGAGTAAATAATTTTCATCAATTTTGGAGTGTTAATTATTAAGTCTTGAAGTGTAATTTGTAATCGAAAAACTCTAAAATTTTAGGGTTTCTATTATCTCTCTTTAAGATTAGTTTGGACAAATAAGTTAGACTTTAATTATGGTCTAATTAAGTATTGAGAAAGTTGGTAATGTGATTTTATTACCGTAAAAATAAAAAATAAAAATTTGATGGGAATAAAAAGAAAAATTTTTGTTTCGTATGAACCTTGATATGAACCTTAGTATTTGCAATGATGGATTAAGATTATATTTTATATTAAAAGATTAAATACTGCTATGATTATTATATATCATTGGAAAGCTTGCTAAATTTACTCTTCAATGAAATAAATGGAAGTCAATTCTGAATTTTTTTATGAAAAGTAGTTTAATGTTTACTTAAAGATGTGCAGGCTACCTAGTAGCAGCAATAAGGAGGAATTTCAAAATTCCTCTTAATTTTTATACAAAGATTTACAAATTAAGCCATATATGTTTGGAAAGCTTATTGAGTCTATTTTCCAACGAAATAAGCGAAATTGAATTTGGAGTTTCCTATGAATAAATACGTAATTTTTATTAGAAGGTATATAGGTTATCTAGTAGCAGCATTTGACGTGAATTGAAAAAATGATTATAATTAATCCACAAAGAATCACGAGATGGGCCATATATGGTTAGAAACCTTATCGAGTATAGTTTCTAATGCATTAAAAGATTTTAATTCTAAGTTGGATATATTGAGATATAGTCATTTTAGTGAAAGTAGTGCAAACTACCAAAATTAGTTACTTGAGTTAATTCTTGTTTAACTTAGTTGTTTTGGTATAAGTGCTCTCAAATGGGTTGATTAATTACTGTTATGTTAAAATTATATTGAATAGTCCATTAATTATTTTGGGGAAAAAACTAAATGGTGGAATCGAAAAGATGTAAGTAGAATCTCACACACTTTGCTTGTTTTATTTCGTTATTTTCGATATATGAAAATAGAACCAAGCATATGATTATTTTGTGTTTTAGCTATGTAAATGATGGATCATGCTTACGAATGAAATGAGAAAATAATTTATGTTTAAAGAACAATTTTATGATAGCTACATTTTTACATCCCTAGAAAGTGGGATCATCGATACCAAAATTAGTTCTACGACCTTGGCTAACTGGTTATAGTAGTTAGCATAGAGATGATCATATGACCCTGCTAACGGGTTATAATAGTTAGCGTAAGGCCCTGGCTAGCTGGTTATAATAGTTAACAATGATCATGATGATGAAATTATCGATATAGCCAATGTCACGGGTTATAAATGAATGATAATTATGATTTATGATGATTTTTACAAATTGATCCATGATATGATGACATGTTTGATATTAATTTGTGCTGTACGAATGCTTGATAGAATGCTAATTTTTGAATTATTTTTGACATTATGAGTTGATGAATGTTTTTAGAATGATCTATATAGTACGTATGAAAAAATACTTGATCCAGTAAGGTATGTGAACCTATACTTGTTGAGCTATGGTTTGCTCATTTTTCTTTTATTTTTTCTTTACAGATGAGTTAATGATAAGTTTGCTTAGTTTTATGAAAAGCTAGAAGATCAAATGGAAAAGATTACTTAGTCATTGGAGACAATGTTGGCCAATGAGATTTTATGAAACGATTTTGTATTTTTATTTGGTTTATGTTTAGATATATAGAGATATATCATTAATTGATTAAAGATATAGATTTTACTTAGCAGACTATATCAATTTATTGAAGAATTTTATAATGATTAAGAAACGCTTCATATTACTTTGGGGTTTACTTCAAGGTAATATGGTCATGTTGCATCTTGGTCTCGAGGCGCAACATAAAATGGTATCAGAGCTAAGGTTTAAGTTCATGAAAGGAAAGAACCAAGCTATAGTTAGTGTAGAACTTAAGTATTTTTCGCATTTACGCTAAAAAGATTCATTTATTTCATTTTGATCGCTTATGAACTATTTTCGTTAGTACTAATTTAGGTGAGAATAAGTGATAGAAATGAGACATTGGCAGACTTTGCTGGTCGAAGGAAAAAAACTGATAGGAGAATGGATGAATCTAAAATCACCAATGTTCGAGATGAGCAAATTAATATTAAAAATACTCATGATGCTCTTATGACGCAAGATGATTTAGCTTGAGTGTATCAGGTGGTGTCTAATTTGATACAACAATAGCAACAGACATAAAAAAATCTACAACAACGTGAGACAGCTTATAAACAATTTCAAAAGGTTAAGCCACTGCAGTTTGAAGTTAGCCTTGATCCTTTGGTTGCAGAAGCTTAGGTTAAAGAGTTGAAAAAAAACTTTTTAAGGCGATGCGAATTTCTAAGGATTTGAAGTTGAGCTTGGCTATCATTCAACTAAGCGAAAATGTTAAATACTGGTGGGATACTATAAATCCCACATTTGAAGATTCAGGCGAGCCTTTGACTTGGAAAAAATTTTAAAAAAATTTCTTTGATCAATATTTTTCAGAGTCAATGATTGTAGAGAAGGAGAATGAGTTTCTGCAGTTACAACAAAAGCATGATATGTCTATGCTAGAGTATGCCAACAAGTTTAATGAGCTAGAAAGTTTTTACACTCACATCATTGATTCAAATAAGAATAAGATGATACGATTCGAGTATGGGTTGAAGCCAAGTATTCGATCTTGTTTTTGTCTTCTCACATAATTGATAGTTATAAAGATGTATTACAACGAGCATTGAAGATTGAGTCAAACATGAAAAGATATAAGCAAGACAGGGGTGATAAGAAATGCCCGAGGTTTGAAAGAGATCAGAATAATCACCAGAAGAATGTAAGAGGAAACATAAGTAAGAAATGAGAGATGAAATCTAGTACTAAGCTCAAGAAATATGATTTTTGCGAGCGGTTTCATTCTAGACCATATCTTAGAAAAGTAAAAGTTTGCTTTGAATGTGAGAAATATACTCGAAACTACCCAAACAAAAAGAATGATCTGTTAGAGCTAAATTGATGGAACAACCACAAAAAAGAAATGCTCGAGTTTTAACTTTGACTTACCAGGATGCTAATGCAAGTGACAATGTGGTGACAGGTACTGTTTCCATTAATCATGTTCATGCCAATGTTCTGTTTGATTTTAGTGCCTCTCATAGTTTTGTATCTGTTAAGTTTGTTGCATTTTTTAGTATTGAACCTGAGAAGTTGAATAAGCCTTGATATGTTGCTATTCCTATAGAAAAAATTATGTGTGCTGATACTGTTTATAAGAATTGTGTTGTACATATAAGGGGTTGTGAACTATTAACGAACTTAGTATAATTAAAAATGCTAGAATTTGATGTAATCTTAGAGATGAATTAGTTGTCTATACATCATGCATTTATTGATTTTTATGAAAATAGAGTAGTGTTTCAATGTCTAGAACAACTAGAACTTGTATATGAAGGTGATCATTTGAGCCCTCCATGTCAGATTGTGTCGGTCTCAAATGTTTGTAATCTTTAAAGAAAGGGTGTTAAGGATACCTCATCTATATGAAAGACACTCAATTGAATGTAGGCTCACAATTATAAGATATTCCTGTTGTTAGGGACATTTCTGATGTCTTTTTTGAGGACTTGCCTGGCCTACCTCTTAATCAAAAAATTAAATCTGAAATCAATCTTATCCCTGGAACTAGACCAATATCTAAGCCTCCTTATCGTATGGCACCATCTGACTTACGTGAACTAAAGGTATAACTTGAAAAACTATTAGAGAAAAAGTTCATTAGTCCTAGTGTGTCACTATGGAAAGCTTATGTGTTGTTTGTTAAAAAAAAAATAGGAGTTTGCGCTTATGTATTAATTATAAGGAGTTAAATAAAGTGACTGTGAAGAATAAATATCCTCTTCCTCAAATCGATGACTTGTTTGATTAGTTACAAGAAGCAAAGGTCTTTTCAAATATTGATTTATGGTCTGGATATTATTAGTTGAAGATTAAGGCAAGTGATGTATTCAAGACTGTTTTCCAAACTAGGTATGGCCATTATGAATTTTTGGTTATGCCTTTTGGAATAACAAATCCACCTGCTGCATTTATGGATTTGATGAACAGAATCTTAAGCAGTATCTGGATCAATTTGTTATTGTTTTCATTGATGACATTCTGGTTTATTCTAAGAGTGATGGCGAACATGAAAAACATTTGAGGATTGTGTTACAGATCTTACGGGATAAACAACTCTTTGCAAAGTTTAGCAAATATGAATTTTGGTTAACAAGTGTTGCTTTCCTCAACCATGTTATTTCTAAAGATGGGATTGCAGTTAATTTGAAAAAGATTGAGGCAGTAGTGAATTGGCCTTGCCTGACAAATGTGACAGAAGTAAGAAGTTTTATAGGCTTGGCAAATTGTTATAAAAGATTTGTTGAGGGATTTTCTCAAATTGCTATGCTATTAACTCGTTTAGCTCAAAAGCAAGCGAAATTTGAATGGATTAAAAAATGTGAACAGAGTTTTCAAGAGTTAAAGCAACAATTGGTGTCAGCACCTGTCCTTACCCTACCTTCTAATGTTAATAGTTTTACCATTTATAGTGATGCTTCCAAGAAAGGGTTGGGTTATGTGTTAATGTAGAATGATAAGGTAATTACTTATGCTTCTAGGCAATTAAAATCCTACGAATAGAATGATAAATTTGTCTTTCTATTATCTTTATATGCAATTATTACAAACTTACATTTCCCTTTTCTCACTGCAATAGCATATTTCCATCTTGGAAAATCATTTTCGCTTGAGAATCCTATGTGTTCTATTTTGTTGGAAAAAGTCATTTTCTTGCTCTAAATGCACATAAAAAACAAAGAACCGTAGTTTGGATGCTATTAATCCATTGTAAACCTAACAATTTAAATTATCTCACATTTTGTGTTAACATGAAAACATAAAATATTTTTTTTTATTTTTATTAAATCTATATATGATTTTTACTAAAATTTTAAATAGTGTGTTTTGTGTTTTTTTCTAATGGTATCAACATATCATTTTTTAAGTTATTATGTCTACTATGATTTAGTATTTTCAGAATTACTCGAAGATACGTAAAAGGAAACTGATGAAGCTTTCTCTAGAGCTGTACGAGAGTGGATACATCCATCAACAAGATAGGGAAGGGGATAATATTTTTGAGTTCTCTGTTCATCAAAAGGTTTGTGAAACTTCTACAGGCTCTCATTTGTGCACCGTGTGTCTTTCAAAAGTCGTGTGGAACATTCAGGTTTGTGTTCCAGAATGTTGATCTATGCACATTTCCTAGCCAACAATGATGAACATTACTGTGTTTTTGTTCAATCTGCCAAGGCATCTGAGAAGAAGCCATCTCTAAAGTTCATTTCATAAATGTTCAGAGATCTGAAATTAAATTGACATGGTCTTGAACACGTACCTATATTTTCTTATTGAATACATAATAACCAATTACCACTTTCTCTTTCTACAAAATAATTGTCAGTACATCTATGATTTCTTGTATTTTTTTTCTCTTGAATGATAGGATCCACAGTAGCTGTAGCCTATAAGTACAAGAAATGTGAAAGATTAGTAACAAATCCCTCTTTTTCGATTCCCATCTGCATGTTTCATTTATAAAGAATTCATCAAATGAAGTTCATTCTCAGATTTCTTTTGAACAAATAAAGAATTCTAACATTAATTTCAGCAGCTACAGTGACAAAGCAGGATAATTTGCGGCAATTCAATGGATATGTTTTTTTTACAAACGAAGCCGGATATTAAAATTTAATCCTCAAATTTGATGGATACTAATTTTTAAAAGTAATTACATAAATTAATTAAATTAAATTATGCATTCCAATGAATATGTTATTTAAGAAGGCAGGTTTGTTTTTTCTAGTTTGTCTCTTCTGAAACAGCCCTCTATGATCATTCAGCCAAACACTAGACCTTATCTCACTTATGGTTTTTCTGTAGTCATATCCGAATTCTCATCAAGTGTTTTTTGTTGACTTTTACGCATTGTAGTGTTTCACAGAAAAATATTTCAAGAACAAAGTTGATTCTAGCAACTTCTTCTAGCCAACATAGATTTTTCAAAGCTAACAGTACCCTTTACTTTTGCCTTATTTGATTACGTCTTTTCTAGGAGGCTAGACTGTAATGAGGCTGTAATTCTCCATCCTTTTCAAATTCTTGGGGTATACTGTACTGAGATCAGCTGCTGAAGAGTTATATTCAAAACCACACGAATTTGGTCCATTTGATGTGATTTGTCAGAGATTTCATTTTGACAAGTTAATGCTGCAAGCTGGCATGGCCCAATGCTTCCAAGCCATGTGCTGTTGCCTGCTCTCTTACCACATGGGATTCCATTCCACTTAGGTTATTGGTCTTTCATAATTTTGATGGCTAAATTTTCTTCTTTCCCCCACCCAAAATTCCGCTTTAGATTCTTGTCATTTAGTCCAGACTTCAGAAACCAGTTGGATTCCCATTAGCAGCAGATTTTCAATTAAGTACACCAGAGAAATCTATTTTTCAAGAGGGACTAAGTCTTGAAACCAATTCCCAATTGTTATGACTGTTTCCTCCCAATTTTCTTTTGGGTGGTAAGAAAAGAAATATGGATTTGATCAAATCCTCTTTGGAAATTGCTGCTGTCTGTTTTGTTGGCCAAGCCCATGGTTACTCAAAACTTGTAAACCTTGCATAAAACTGTCAAAACTACCAATCCTCCATAAAAAAAAATGAAGTAATTCTTTTAGGGATACCCACTTAAAAAAATATATAAAAAATTTTCAATGTATTTATCAATTTTGTCGATTAAATATATATTTTTCTTTCAAACTTTTTTATTTTTGATATTTGAAAATTTCTTATAGAAAATTTTAAGGTGTTTAAAAAAAAAATTTTCAAAATTTTTTAATTTTTAATATTTAAAAATGTTCATGAACACTTTTGGAAAGGTATATCCGCCTCTAAACACATCTATTTGCTTAAAAGATGCCAAAAAATCAAAGGAAATAAATTTCATTGAGGAAGTCATTACATAAAAAGATATAAATAAATAAATAAAATAAAGGTACAAGTTGCCAAATCAATGAGACAAACAATAACAATTGAAATATTATTTGGTCCATAAGATATGATTTCTACATAATTGTTAAGAACAATATCTTCCTAATTTCCGTCTCGTTGTCATTACTTTATCTTTCTTTTTTCTTTTTTCTTTTTTTTATGATGCCCATTTCTTCTAAGTTGACCATTCAAACCACAGCAGATCATAATAATAAACGCAAAAAACAAATCAAGTCGGCACCTATAACATGACCATTTCAACACTTAATTTCTCTTATATTTTCTTTCTTTGAAATGAAGAACTTGTCAATTTTGTTTGTTAACTCTCACTTTCTCATTTTCATTCACTTTCTCACTCCCCAAACAGTAAAAATGGAAAACACTTTCTCAAATAAATGAAATGGATCGGAAATGTAAACTGTATCGGAAATCGATCTTTAGTTAACAGTGTAATAATATTAACATATCGATGGGCATTTCTGTAATTTTACACAAAATTAGTCGCGTGTGCGTTAAATCAGAACACGCTCAACGCACGCCGTTAAGAGTTAAACTACTTTTCTTTCTTCTTCATTTACATCTAAACCGGCACAAAAGACGGCACAAACGGCGACGGCTCATAACAAAACGGCGCCGCTGGATGCTGCCACATCTTAAACACAAGCTTCTCCGGCTCCGTTGCCTGGCTTTGTCGCTGCTGCTCTTGACGCGGTGGTTCTTCCCTTTTCTCAGTCGTCCTCCGATCAATCGATGGAGGGGAAGAAGCGAGCGGTGATAAGAGTGGGATCGCAACGTTCCAGCTCGAAATCGGATTAATTTGTAAGGAAGCCGGAGCACGACGTTGAAGCCGGCTGGGTTGACGCCGATCGCCGCCGTCGACGGCGGACGTTGTCCTCGGTGTCGTTGACATGGATGGATGAGATGCTAAATCTGAGAGTTTCTATGATTTACTTGAGAGGAAGCAAACAAAGTTTTCTTTCTTTATGGGTCGGAACTTGGAAGAGAGAAATAATGAGCTTCTGTTGAGCGTGGGGGTGGATGACTTTATAGGAAGGAGGGGGCCATGCGGAGCGCACGTGAAAATGGCAGCTTAGCTGGCAGTTTATATATAGCTGGGTTTTTACAGCCAAGAGTTATGAATTATAGGGATTTTTCTTTGACTTTGACTGATTTTTGGAAGTTTGTTGGATTTTTTTTTTCATAGAAATTTACTTTATGGGTTTTTTTTTTTTTAATTTTTTCTTTACAAATTATTTTGTTTGGGTTTACAGTTCTTGTTTATTATAAGAAATTAAATTAAAAATTATTATATAATTTTGCTTACCAAGTCAATTGTAATAAATTCAATTGCTCAAACTATAATATGCTACTAAAATTCATCATATCGAAATACATGATTATATGATTATAATAATTTATGTATTTATGAAAAATAAGGATCATATATGTTGATATACGATAAATTTTAATAATAGGTTATACTTATGTGTCAAAAAAATTGTTACACCTTAATTGATTGTATCAACGATTAATACGGAAAAAGTTTATATAATAAAATTTTCTCAAAGCATCTCCAATTCACACGTGACATTTCTTTTACATGGTAACAATATCTAAATAATTAATAATCCAAAAGTTTCCAAGCAAAATCATCATGATTTTCCAAAATTTTTCAAATAAAAAAAATAAATAAAGCCAAAGCCAGGCTCAGCTAAATAAAAGCTGTCAAGCCAGCCACACCCCAAACCGAAAGGGCAACAAGCATAGTAGCGTCATCGGTCAAGACCTTCTCTTATAAAGAACAAACAAAGGCTTGTCGACTTCTGTATCAACTGACCCCACGCCACAGCCCGCAACTTAAAACAGCGTTCCACGCGCCACTGGATTTTGACCACTCAGCGCCAACAGCCTCAAATAATAATAATGCTTCTAAGAAACGTTCCTCATAATAATTTCATGGTCATAAATTTTTTTCCATCAATCCAACGGTAAGGACATAAGTTACGTGGCCAATTCCAACCCTTAATTCTTTGACACGTGTGTGATCCATGTTACCTGCCCTGTCGTGTCGGTAAAGATTTTGTTTGGTTCCATAATTCACAAGTAATGACAGCCAAGCTCCAAGGCATTTGGTCAAGGGCAGGACCGTCATTTCAGAATATTCAAAGAATATTTAGAATGAGATTTTCCATTTTTTGGGGGGTTAGAAACACTCCTTTGATGGAGTCCCTTTACATAGTCAAAAAGGACTGTTGCATTGTCAAAAGTTTAATAAGGATCAAACCAGATTTTGGATTTGGAATAATATGCAGTAAGAAAGAATAATTGCCATTGATAATACCAAAATTTACAAAAATGGACTTTCATTTGACTGTACTAAAAAACCCTTTAGAAAATTTGGGATTTTAGTTTCATTCACAAAAACAAAAGCTAATACGGAAATATGTAGGGAAAAAAATCATCTGAAAAGCATTTTCAGCTCTTCAATCCTGGCTGATCTGACTTCTTCATCAGTTAGGGCACCAGCAATCATCTTCTGCTTCCTTGCCTGAACTTGTTGCATGCGTTCTTCCACTGTCTCCTGGAATAATCATTTGTTCAATGGCAAAAAATGTCAGTTTTTGATCAGTAATGAACAAATAGAAAAAGACAAATCAGAATTTCCAAGTTTCAATTTGGTTGGGTTGAAAGGTTTCAGTTCAAACTCAAGGATCTGGAAGGAAGACTAATCAACTTGTGAAAAATTCTGATTAAAAAAAAATAAACATCAACAGACCCATCACAGTTTTACTGTTTGTAAGCAATTTCCAAGTCCAAGTCCAAGTCCAAGCTATCCTACCTTCTATGCTCAGCTATGAATATGGGATTGGTGGGATATCCTTAGCTTAGAAATTAGACCTAATCAAACTTCATAAGTTTAGAATATATATAATAATTTAAAATACGATAAGATAATAATATATTAAAATGATATAAAAGTAAAATAAGTTAAAATTTCAACAAAATTTATGAGTTTAATAAAAATTAAAAATATATATTTGATGTTTTTTAAATCAACAAAATTATGACATAAATTTTTTTATAAAATACAATATAAATATATAAATAAATAATATTTTATACTATATAAATTATTAAATTATTAAATTTACTTTAAAAGCCGGCCTTATATGATTGTGTATTAAAGCTAGGGTGGTCTACATATACGACCAAGTCCATACGTTTGTGAGTCAATTTTGGATCCATTCAGTCCCATTTTATGGGACAAATTTGGAATATGTAGATAGAAGAAAGACTGAACTCACCTTAACAATGAACCTTCTAACCGAAACTGTTCTCTTTTGTCCAATTCGGTGAATTCGCATAATTGCTTGTTCCTCCACTGCGGGATTCCACCATGGATCCTACAAAAGGATTGTCACAAATTAAGACCAGGAGATTTAAAATTCCTTTGTCTTTTTTTTCATCTTTCAAATATTCCTCGCAGAAAAAGGTTGAGACTGTGGAAGGCAGAGCTGAGAATATACCATTAAGAAGACATTAGAGGCTGCAGTTAAATTCAGGCCCACGCCACCAGCTTTCAAAGACATAAGCAAAACCTACAACAGGTAAAAGAATGGATTCAATGATAACCAGAATTCTTCCGTCATACTTAGAAAATGTTTGGTTCGCAAAATCTATCATTCTAGAAGAGAAAATGATTCATTTGCATTGACACAAAGCTATCCAAATTGTCAAATATAAATGCACATTGCACAAATTGTGCTTACCATTTTCTCTCCTGTCTCATTGAACTCCTTCAGAACCCTCTCCCTTTGTTTTTGCACCAGTCTCCCATCAAACCTTAAGAATCCAATTCCTCTCCTCCTTAATGGGATCTCTAAAAGATCTAGGAATGAAGTCCACTGGCTAAAAACAATGCTCTTTTCACCAGAACCGGACCGGCGGATGCCTTCTAAGCACTTTAACAGCTTTGAAACCTTTGAAGACTCTTTCCAGTTATTCTCAACGTCAACTCTAAACTTATTTTCAGTTGGACATGTTATGAGGTCAGTTTTCTTCAGCAGTGTCCTGCAGATTGGGCATAACCCAACTGTTGGTGTGCGCCAACTTGAGAGGAGACATTCCCTGCACATCCTATGTGCACAAGGTGTAAGCACGGGGTCATCTGCAGACTCCATGCATATTGGACACTCTGTGTTTTCTCCCCGCCGGATACCATCAACAACCTCTTCAATATAGGCTCTGGTCGGGGCATTTTGATTTGAAGTGAAAGAATCAGGGAGAGTTTCAAGGAACCTTCTTGCAAGCTTGTTCAAGTCCGAATACTGCTGTGAATCAGCTCGACTGCATAGTTTCCAGACCATAAAAAAAGGTTAGAAAGGAAAAGTAATTTAAGATATGATGACAACTATTTAAAATACCAGAAAAAAGTTCCTGAAATGCATTACTTACCTCATAACAAGAAAAGGGTGGTTGCAACACTGCCTCAATCGAAGTAGTAGCTCAAGAATGGATGCATAGTTATGAAGAACCTTGCCTTGTGCAACAAATTGATCAAACTGAACCTGTTTAAATCAAATAAAAATTGTAAGCTTCATCCCATGTAGGGTATTAATCAAAACTAAAAAGCAATAAATGTTTCGGAACAGTCTGAAAGAAGTTACTCCACAACATGAAAGTGCATTTCTTGTGTCAGGCAGAAGATTACTAAATTGAAGAAGCATTTAATGGACAAACTTACTTTAGATCTTCTAAATAAAGCATCATAAAAATCACGTTCAGCTTCTGATTGCTCGCACTCAATGATTTGAATATCAGTTGGAGGGAGAACAAGAATAGGTCTAAAATATCAAATGCATGAAACATCAAATCCTGAAAAATGATTTTCAATCATAGCGGAAACAAACTAAGAACAAAAGAGGTTGACTGAAGCTGAGAAATGCTCACCTTCCTTCTTTGTCCTTTGTTTCCTTTGTTCTTCTCAACATCAGCAGCCGCAATATGGCCTTGATCCATTTCAATCCTGTTGGATTACCATTCTCATAGGGCCCTTGAATCTTTGCCTTCCACCTATGGAAATGCAAATAACATCATGAACAGAGAAAGACATGGGACTCACCAATAACGCAGTCAATTAAAATTTAGAATATTAGTAATTTTAGTGCCAAGCAGAAATTAAATACAGATTATACACAAAATTATTCAAACTTATTTATACCATGCCCAATTGCACCATGGTTCCACGTGCAAGAAGCATAGAAGGCTGTAGAGGTCTTCCAAATTATTCTGCAGGAAATAAAGACAAGAAAGGAAATTAAGCACAAGGCTATCATGAAGGGAAAAGAATTAGGACAATGAGGAATAAGGCAAACCTGGAGTGGGGTTCCAGTGAGACACCAACGGCAATGTGCAGATAATGCAAACGCAGCTCGAGCTCCTAAGGTTTTTGAAGATTTAATTGTATGAGCTTCATCTAAAACCACCCTATACCAGTCAACCCTGTGGAAAATGCTGTTCTCGGCATCCTAGATCAGATTGCCCACGGAATTGAGACTAAATAAGGAAGAATAAGAATTGGACAGCAAAATCTCTGTCCAGCAAAGCAAATAGGTAAACAAAATAAAGTATTCTCTTACACTTTTATAAGCAGCAGTTAAGACCCCATATGTTGTCAAGACTACATCATGCTCTGAGATTACCCTAGGATCATTGGTCCTTTCACCACCATAGTGCACAAAAATCGATATGCTTTCAGGCCTTGAGTGAGTCTCAAGCTCATCCTGGGGATATAACTAAAACTCATTTGATAACATATAAATAGTAGTATCATAACACATGTAAAATTGCACTGGCTTTCTTTAGCATGCAGACTCATGACCTCAAACATCAAACTGGGTGAATAAAGGTGTAACAAATGAACTTCGGAAACAAGTCAACCTATCACCCCTTTATCTCTTAATGCAAGAGAGAATAAGAGATCACCTTCCACTGGCTTAACAAAGCCATTGGACAAATAATAAGAGTGCCTCCCTTTGTTCTACGTGGGACATTTGCATAAGCATCTTTCTTCTTGTTTGTGCTTCTGCTGTCATCTCCTTTTCTGGAATCAGGTTTTTCATTATCAGGATTTCCTCTACCAAGTCTTGCAAGGATTAGAGCAATTGTCATCACAGTCTTTCCAAGACCCATTGCATCTGCTAGAATCTGCAAATACATATGCCTAGTTAGAATTAAAAAAAAACCTACCTCCACCACCACCACCACTATCCCCATCAAAAAGAAAGAGAAAAGAAGAATATATCAAAGATGGAAGGCTACGGCTAACTCTAATAGCAACGCCAGTGTAATGAATATGATGAGAGTAACTTACTCCTCCTCTTGCCATCTGCCTAGCACTTGGGAAATGAACTGTGGCTTCTCCTGAGAAAACGTTTACATAAATTGAGGAAGCCCTTCTGCTAGGAAGCATGCATGGTAAAGTTACAAACTACTTAACTAAATGCTTAATCAAAGTTCACAACTAAAACAAATATACATACTCATCACATATGCGATAGGCAGACCAGCATGGATGAAGAGTTTGTGCAGCTTTCTCAGCGTCAATTCCTTTCTCCGACTCAGACATCCAGTATAGAGCTTGTTTCTGGTATGGCCTTAATTTACATGTAAGTGTATATGGGGGCTCCATTTCCTAAAAGATTGAAAGTATGAGATGAGAAAACATAGAGCACAACACTGTTAATAAGTTCCCAAACCATCTTAGATTTCGAAAACAGAAAGATATTCCCAAACCATCTTAGATTTCCAAAACTGAAAGATAGATGCTTAAAGGTCCTTTACCTCCAAATTATATGTGTCTGCAGCACCAACAATCTTATTCAAAGATGCCTCTGACATAGCTTGCTCATCTTTACTCTGCTCTGGACAACCCTTTCTTCGTTTTGCGATAGGCAAAGCTGTTGCAGCTTCATCATAACCATCCTATTATAATCAACAAAAATTGTTAATTTGCACGTCTGTCAAACTCAGGAACCACTGAAACAAAGCCAATGTGCAACTAAGAATAATGGGTATGCATTGACAAAATATTAATAACTACTTCACTTTAAAGGTTCAATGGTACTGTAATACTGGTTGTGCAATCAAAACTGTTGTCAAATGATCACTTCATATCCCTAAATAGCAGTTGCATCAATGGTGAAGGATGCCGTTTGCAGGCTCTCTTAATGTATAAATGAATAAATAAATAATGACTAAACTTAATCGGGAACATCCAAGTAGAATTTGATTCCTTATGACATTGAGGGGGTACAGAAACTTACTAAGCCGATAATTTAAACATCAGTGATAAAATTAAGGCTTAACAATTAACTAATATGAAAAGTTATGGAGAAATTAAACATACTTCTATATGGAGAACACGCTTCCCAGAATTCAGTTCCTCTGGAGTGAAGTTAGCCTGATGTGAAGCACCAGAAACAACGGCAGAAATAGTGCATAAGAAACCACAATGATGTTATAGCAAAGCCAACAGTAACAAGTGACTTATCTAAAGTTTGACTTTCACCAAACTAGAGGATGGGGAGGATACCTTCTGATATGGTTTTATTTTAAGGTGTTTAAATAGATTAAACAGAGGATTAAGCCTAGACTCCATGTTCCAGGGTGCATCAAACATCCAGGAAGACTTATCACCCTCGGTGAATATAGAACTGTGAATGTAAAAGCTGCCAAACATGACAAAAAAGGGTCAATATATTCTCCAAGGCTCCAAACTTAAGCTAAAAGAAATATTCCTTTAGTCAAAGAAAATCTAAAACTGTTACCTTACAAATAGCATGATTTCTTGCATAATACTAAGTGTTGTTGAAGCAGCTATACACCGACCAATAACTTTAACCTTGTTAGAATATACAAGGGGATTTACCCATTTTCCCCAATCCATTGGAAGCCGACCAATCTAAAATTCAATGACAAAATTTAAAAAAAAAAAAAAAAAACTATCAATTAAGTGAAACTGAAATAAGCTAACCTCCCCACTTCGCTTAGTTGAGAAGCGAACAATAGATTGAAGCTTGTGACTGGCTGCTGGAGAAGGGAAAGTGAAGTAAACAATCTCATTATCCAACAATTTGTTCTTCCCTTTAGTTGTTGAAACTGCATTAACTATTGTCCTTCCAACTAAGTACCAATCAGGTTCTTCTGGGGAATCCCCATCTTCCACCAGAACACCATTCACTCTCCTCTCTTCAAAAGCATCTTTCTTTATATCAGCCGGTTTTTGCAACTCTTTAGAACACTCAAAACCAAGTTCCTTTTTCACTAACGGAAGGTTTTGAGTATCTGATTTCATCTCTATAACTTCAGAGGCCTTGACCAGAGCAACAGAAACAGAATCAACAGCCTCTTCTTTGATCTGGATTTTGAGAGTATCATCAAGAGATTGAACCTTAGTATTTGTTAACTGAAGAAACTCATCAAAGGACATCCTTGACTTTGAATCTTCATTCTTGGCTACGGGTTCCTTTCTGAAACCCGAAACCATTTCTTCCATCACTGGGACTTCACTCTCAAACCCCAAACCAGGCTCCTGCTTTACTTTAATCTCCTTATTTTCTTTCATCAAAACTTTGCTTTCAATCCCCAAATCAGACTCTTCCTTCAGTTTAATCTTCTTATTTTCTTTCATCAAAACGGTGCTTTCTATCCCCAAACCAGGCTCTTCCTTCACTTTCAAAAAAGGCTCCTCCTTCACTTGGGTTTTAACGGGCTCAGATTCTTCGAACTGATCACCTGACTCGATCAGGGTAGAAACGCGAAACCCAGTCGCAGTTACCATTCGACAAACAGTATCTGATCGGAGACAAGAATCAGGGTCGTTAGGAAGCAACTTAACGACAGAAACAACGTTGTTATCCAGGGCTGACTGGATTTGTTGAACCTTCTTGTCTTCTACTGAGCCTATATCCATGGCCTCCATATCTGATTATCTTGACCCAGTAGGAGAAGAAAAATAGAGAGAGAGATAAATAAGAGACGGACTTTTGGGGGGTAAAAATGGAAGAGAAGAAGGGATTTGGGAGGGTGTTAGTGTTGTATCTAATATATTTTTGGCGCCAAAATGATTTTACAGCGTTGGGATGTTCGCGGTTATTTTTGTGTTAAAATTTTAGGCGCGAAAGGGGTGGGTTAAAAAGGGTAAGTGATTTTTTATGTTTTGCGGTTAGTACAGTGCCAGGCCGTTTGAAAGGAAAGGGAATTTTTCTCGTTTTTAAATATCTGATTTTAAATCAGATATCTCTCTTTTTTTTTTTATTTGTGTTAGGATTTTACTTTTCTAATATAATAAAAAAAAATTTAATAGCCCCTTTTTTATTTTTAATTTTTTTCTATTTTAAAGGAAATCATAAAATACAATATTTTTAAATGATTAATTATTAAATAAAAAAATCTTAAGGAATGTTTAGCATGAATCTAAATGGATGGGTTTAGGGTCAAGCATTTTTATATTATATTTAAAAATATCAAAGAGGTTAGATGGCTCATAATATGATACGATTTGATATAAATATAGTTTGTTGTTAAATAATTTGATTAGGTCAAATATGATACATATGTGTGTTGTACAAGATTAAAAGTGTTTAAGCTCATGGGTTGGTACAATTTGTTTGTTAAGAGTCAGTGCTAATACGTGATACGTAAATTAGCATGACACGATATGCAAACTTAAATTTGCAATGCAATGTTAGTTCATAATTGTTATAAATGGATTTTTTTATTTTTGAATGTATTCATGCTATTTTTTATATTTTAATAAAATTATATTTATTTTTTGATGATTTATAAAATAAATTATATTAAATAAATTTACTTATTAAATATTTAAATTATTAATAAATAAATTATATCTAATTAGTTTGTGAATTGTACAATATTGGATTATTTTTATTTATTTAAAATTATGTGTATAAAAACAAATTAATAATTTTTTTCAAAGTTATATAATTAAAATCTCCAAACTTATAACATATATATATGTAAAATATTTTAATTGTAAAACAAAATTAGAGACTAGTTATCTGAAAAGGTATAAAGAAAAACATGATATTGCATTTGTCGCTTCTAATGATCCCACACAAACTACATTTAGTCAGCATGCTAATAGATCTTTAGTTGCATTTTATTTTTCACAAGATAATTAATATAATCAATTAGCTAAATTTATAATGTAGTTTGAGTAAGCATTTTGTTTTTATAGATAACTAATATTTTAATGATTTAATTAGAAATTGTATACTATCCAATTATAAAACAATTTCAAGAAATATTGATAGATTAGATGGCTTTAAAATTTTTTTTTTATAAAGAAAATTTAATATTTAGTTTATCAAAAATTTCCTTCAAAATTTTTTCTTATGTTTAATATTGCACCAATCGGCAAAACTTTAGTTATATGTGTATTATTTGGCATTGTATAGATTATGTGTATGTGTGTGTGTGTATTTTTTTTTAAATCATGATTGTAATTTTAATATATTTATTTAGTGGTTTTTATTATCCATATCCGTGGATGTTGATATTTTGTGAAACTACCTAAATTATGTATCATTTTTATTTCATTATGTATTTATTATTTGATGCATGTTACTTTTAATAATAATAGATAATTTTTTAAAATAATTAAAATTTTGAAAAAAATATTAATGGGGTGTGCTTAGCTCAACTCAACATGAAAAATAGTATTGTGCCTAACATGTCAACCAAAGAAAATTACAAGTTATGTGCCATGTTGGACCATAACCTTAACATTCATAAGATGTGCCAACATGACAACTTAAAAAATAATGTTATCTATTAACATATGAGCTAATATTTAAATGGGTTGTGCCGACCCAACATGACTCATTTGACACCTTTAATTATAGTCATCGTTATACTCGTATTTAAACGGTATTTTAAATTCATTCCCATTCTCATAGGTATTTAATGAATAAAGATAATCCATGTACTTGTAGTTTTAAAAAATTATTTTCTTTGTTTTTTATTTTTATCTTACAAATTTATGCAATTTTTGTATAAATATAAATATTTTAAATACAAATATATTAATTCGTATTATTATAAAATAAAATTTATATTATTAAATAATATAAATGTATAGGGATCGGTATAAAGTGGGTGTTATATTACCAATCCCTATACCCATATCCAATATAAAATTAAAAAACTATATTTATCTTCATTCTCATTTTCAAAATTTAATACCCATGTCAATCTTATTAGGGTAAAAAAGAATTTCCTGTCAAATTGGGATAACATTAACAACCTTAGTACCATAACCCATTAACATCCATAGGTTGGGCTAGGTCCACAAGCTTGGCCCTTTTGATCATATTTGCTTATTAAGGGTTCAATGTATTTTGAAAGCCCAAAACCCGAACTACTCATTTAAGCCCATTTATATAAGTGTATTTTAAATTTATTATTTACATATTAAATATTTTATATTAATATTTGAATTTTAAAAAATAATTATATAATAATAAACTATATTAACCACTCAAATCGAACCTTCTTAGACTTATAAAATTTTATACAAAGCCCACCCGTGGACATGTATAAGTCCAATTCCAAGTTACTTGTGTTTTATTAGGTATTTATTTGAATAAAAGGTGAGATTTATTTGGATATTATTAAAAATAATAATGGTGATGAGGTTAATTATTATAATGATAAGAGTAAAAATTGAGATATATATTTAAATGTAAATATAACAAGATTAAAAATTGTTTCCTATTTTAATTTTACACTAACATAGTCAATCATCAAATTGACTACCTTATAATTCAATTCAATGAATTGCTGGATTTTTTCTTTCTAGTCTTCACTTGAAAGAGTAATGGGCTCAACTGCACTCTGGATAACTATCCAAATGCATACCACGGTGTAGTTGGCCCAAAAAATAAGCTTGAATTCCAATGCGCCATAGAATCCAAATGAATTATAAATAATTCATAATTTTATTTAAATTTGGTTTAATATTATATTTAAACTATTATAATATATATTAACAAAGTTTGATTCTAAATCTAATGGTTAAAGAGGGGACAGGCAGCACCAATGCTAGAACTCTTTGGTAAAGAATGGCATGTCTTTGGAAAAGAGAAAGTACATTCCCTGAAACATTGAGAAGGAAATAATCTATGCTTTTGTTGCTGTCTCTTTAAACAAATTAAAAGAGTCGGATTCAAATTTAAATTCTAAACTTGCAAATTACTTTAAATTTATATTATTACATTAGATAAAATAAAGATACTAAAGCAATATTCTCTTATTTTATAGTTTCATTGGATTTTTTTTTTAAATACTATAAAAAATGTCAAAAGAAAAAAAAAAGAGGGGTAAAGAAGTCTTGCGATGTTTATTTCCAGGATTCGAAGGAAAGAACAAGTAATGTTAAAATCATAGCGATCTTAAATGCTTCCTCAAAATCATTTTTTCACCATCTTAGACACAATCCCACTTTGAGAGTTGAGAGAAAAAAAAAAGAAAGGAAAGATGGAGTCACAACAATTTGGGCACTCACATCCGTTGGTGGTGTCCAATGAAATCAAAGAAGCAAATTGCTCAAGGTGCGGTGAGGTGGTGTCGGCTCCTACCCTTTGTTGTGTTGAATGTGGATTTTACCTCCATAAAAAATGCGCTGAGGCACCTTCCGAGATTCATCATCCTTTTCATCCCAATCATCCTCTCGTTCTTTTTCCAAAGCCAACATACAAGTGGGGAGGATGTCCTTGCGATTTTTGCGGCCAAAATTGTGAGCTCTTTGTTTATCATTGTCCTTGTAAGTTAGACTTTCACATCAAATGTGCTTTATTTTCCCTTAATATTGCTGAAAAAAAACTTGGAGAGCTTGAACACGCAGCCATCAAAGATCAATTAATCTCCACTGAAGGTGGTCAAAAAGAACTTGAAAGGGCTAAGTGTTTTGGGTGTTGGGAACCATTATTAGGATCTGCATATTTTTCTCTTGATTCTGGGTTTCACCTACATAAGAAATGTGCTGAGCTTCCTCATGAAATCAATCACCCCCTTCACAACAAACATCCTCTCATTTTACAGTTTAATGGTGAACGTTTCTCTTGTAAAATATGTCTGCAAAAGCCATCTTCCAAGGGATTTATTTATTTTTGTTCACCTTGTAAGTTTGCCCTTCATATTAAATGTGCCGAGTTACCTCCTCAAATCAATCTACCCTGTCATCGGAGACATCCTCTTATTTTACAATTTAATAGTGAAAACCTCCCCTGCAAGATATGCCAAGAAACCCAACTCCAAAAATTTATTTATTGTTGTTCATCTTGCAAGTTTTCCCTTCATACTGAGTGTGCCTCATCACCACTTACGATTAAAGAAAAAAATCACCAACACCCATTCACCCTGTATTGGAGACGACACTCATTCATTTGTGATGCATGTGGCCTCAAGGGTAATTATGCTGCCTATATATGTCTTGCATGCGACCTTCTAATCCACAAAAAATGCATTTCAGTACCACCCATCATCAAAGTCCCACGACATCACCACCCCATTTCCCACAACTATTTCCTTCATGAGAATGAGTTCAAAAACTGGTATTGTGAATTTTGTGATACTGAAGTGGATATAGAGTATGGGAGTTATTGTTGCCTGGATTGCAATTTTATTGCCCATGTGAAATGTGCGACAGAGAGAGAAGGTTCGTATGTTGTAATTTAGGCAAAAAAAAAAGATGAGAAGCTTGATGATGATGATGGTTCTAAGAATCCCATCACTTGTGTCATCGAGAAAAATGAAAGTGGAGAAATAGCAAAAATAAACCATTTCAGCCATGCATGTAAACATCATTTTATATATTATTATTATTTTTTCTTTTTTTTTTCTTTTTCTGGCACCTTTCTACCTACCGTTGGCAGCTGCACTGCCAATGGCCCTGACAACCACCAACAGTCGTTCTGACAGCTGACAACCACCCTAATCCTAAGTAGCCAAAATTTCAAAAATTTTTTTGATTTTGGTCTTTCTTTTTTGCTTTATAAATAGAGCCATAAAAATTACAACAAAGAAGAGGAACCTACGACAAAAACCCAAAAGCCCTGCAAAAAAAAAAAAACTCATATTCAAAAAAAAAAAACTCTGCTAAAAAAAATTTTTGTAAAAAAAAAATGGGAAACCAAACACC